CTGTCAGGGGCCGGGACATGGCTGCAGGAGGGCGGGCAGGACTGAGGGGTGGACGGGGCTGCCTCAGCAGTGCCTCCAGCCAGGGAGTGGAGATCCCCAGCTGCCTGGGGTTTTAAAGCCTGGCTCTGGGGAGCTTGCCCCGCCTCCCACTGCGATGGGAGGGTCTTGGCCCGGTAGCTCTGGGAGCTATTTTGGGGGCAAGGGGAGGAGAGGGGAGAGGGGCAGGGAGAGCTGAGCCGAGCTCCACACGGGCCAGGCCAGGCCCAGCCTGGCTCCTTCACAGCCCTGTGCTGACCCGCTTCCTCCAGGCCTCGCCCACTGGGGTCTTCGGTGCCCGTCTCTGCCTTTCACAGAGTTGGAAACAAGATGCAGCAGGCAGTGTGGCCTTGAGAAGCCTGCGGTTTGACTGGAGCCGTTGGGCGGTGACTTTGGCTGAGGTTGCCCTGATCTGGGCCCTTTTCCTGGGTTATGGATGGACGAGGCAGCGGGGGGGGGGGGGGGGGGGGGGGGGGGGGGGGGGGGGGGGGGGGGGGGAGTAGTTGGGAGGGCAGATTTCAGCCTCAGTCAGGACTCCTTGAAGAAGCCAAGGAATGGGGCACCTGAGTGGCTCAGTCGGTTAAGTGTCCGACTTCAGCTCAGGTCATGATCTTGCGGTTCGTGGGTTTGAGCCCCGCATCGGGTTATGTGCTGGCAGCTCAGAGCCTGGAGCCTGTTTCAGATTCTGTGTCTCCCTCTCTCTCTCTGCCCCTCCCCTGCTCATGCTCTGTCTCTGTCTCAAAAATAAATAAACTATTAAAAAAAAAAAAAAGAAGCCAAGGAAGGCTGTCAGTGGGACAGGTGCGAGGAGCCCCAGCCTCCGTCAAAGCACTTTGGTTTCTCTTTTGGACACTTGCCCAGAGACTTCTGGTCATGTTCCCATAGTGGCTCTATGGGAACGTAGGGGCGCGGGGGTCTGCACTCAGGTGGGGAGGTCATATATTGGGACAACACGGGCCAGGAGCCGAGGGTCAGGGTGCCCCGAACAGGAGAGGTGTAGCTTAGCAGAGGACGCTGGGTGTCTGAGAGAAGGGGACCGAGACCCTGGGTTCCAGGGGGTGGTATAAAGGTTGCCTGAGGCAGGGCCACTGCCGCCCCCCCCCCCAAGCTGAGCCACTCGGAGATCCCCCTGTTGCTGTCCTTCAAGGAGCTCTGAAGTGACCTTTCAAGAGGAGAGGGATGGTAATCAGATTACAGGCCAGCCGGATCTGGCCGGGGGCTGCCAGCCCAGAGCAGGGGCTTCTGGGAATTGTAGTCCTGAGCCCCCAGGGGCAGGAGAAACCAGCACCCCCACCCACTCATAACATTGGCCAGTGGTATTGGGTCTGTGAGGCACCGGCCAGGTGATTGGAGACCTCCTCCCACTCATGCCTCCCATCTGGGGCCACAATACTGGACAGGGACTCAGGGGGCCAAGGTTCCCAGCTGTGACCTCACCTGTAAAGCGGGAGCCTCTGCACCAGGAACTTTCTGCCAGTTACTCGACTTCATGTCCTGGTAGCTACAGGACCTTCCCTTGGAGGCTCTGGCTGTCCCCAATCCACTGCTCACGCCCTGGCCCCAGCACTGATTTGCTGTGTGACCTTAGGCTGGTTGCTTTACTATTCTGAGCCTTGAATGCCTTCATCCAATTTATACTCTCAAATAAGAATATTAATTCCTGCCTCCTCCAGCTGCTGCCTCCTACTCCTAGGGAGGCCGCCTTTTGGATCCTGCTTTGTTCTTTGAGCAAAAGGAGCCCAGGGCTTTGTGCAATTTCAAAGGCTGCCTGGGCCTCCCGGGCAGCGGGCTGGTGGAGAAAGAACCCGGTGTTCTGGTCTGAGGGCTAGGGAAGCAGGTCACAGAGGCCTGGACGGCTGCAGGACGTTACTGAGAGCCTGGCCTGGGGAAAGCCGAGCGGTTTCCGAGGACCTCCTGAGCCACAGCAGACCTGGCCCTGGAATCACGAGCTTGGGGTGGGCTCTAACCCCAAGTTTTCCAATCCCGCACACTCCTCTCCCCTGCCCCGCTAGCTGCTATGCTTCATAGTGAGAAAGATCAGGAAAACACCAAAATGTGCCCACATGGATATGGTGGGAATACAAACTTCCTTAGAGGCTCCCATCCTCAGCCCCGCCCACAGAGCTGTGCCTCTGTTGGGGGGGGTGGGTGGAGGGGGGGTAGTGGCTGTCACCCACCCTGGATCCAGAGGTTTTGTCTCCAGTGGGTCGGGTCTCTCCGGGTTTGGCTAACGTCTTGGGCCGCTGGGCCGGACTTACAAAAGGCTGCTCTTCAGAGTAGAGCCCAGAAGGCTGGTTGGTGGGTTCCCCTGAGGAAAGATGACCGTCACCTGTGCAGTCACCCAAGTCGTGATGGAACCCTGGCCACACACACCTCTGCCCTGACCCCTAACTGCTTACAAGTTTATTTCCCTGCCGCCAGGGGCCTGCTCCCAACCATTCCCAAATTCTCACCTTGCTCCCCAAATGAACCCAGTGCGCGTCCAGCTGGCTGGCCCTGGTGCTGCCCCCCGCCCCCCACCATGTGTCCGCGCTGTGCTCGCCCTTCTGTGCTCACGCCACTTGCTCAACTGGGACTTGTGCCGTTTCTACTAGGAAACAAATTACTTTTTTTTTTTTTTTATGTTTTTTATTTGAGAGAGAGAGAGACAGCGTGAGCAGGGGAGGGTCAGAGAGGGAGACAACAGAACGTGAAGCAGGCTCCAGGCTCTGAGCTGTCAGCACAGAGCCGACGCGGGGCTCGAACCCACAAACTGTGAGATCATGACCCGAGCCAAAGTCGGACGCTCAACCGACTGAGCCACCCAGGCACCCCGAAACAAATTACTTTTTAAAAGTAGGCTCTGTGCCCAATGTGGGGCTTGAACTCATGACCCTGAGATTAAGGGTCACATACTCTACCGAGCCAGCAAGGTGCCCCCAGAGAAATTACTTTTTTTTAAACCCTTGTTTTATTCTAAAGTAGGCTCCATGCCCACATTGGGCTTAAACTCACGACCTTGAGATCAAGAGTCTCACGCTCTATGGACTGAGCCAGCCAGGCGTCCAGAAATGACTTTGGAGTGATTTCTCTTATATCCTTTGGTGGGTCTCTTTGGTCTTCGTTGTCAACGGCCCCCACTCAAACAGTTTCCAGGCTTTTCTTCCAGGAGTGATGCCACCCCAGCCCAGCACGAGGACACCTTGAAGGCTCAGGCTGACCTACTTGCGTCCCCATGCCCTTTCCAATCTCTCATTCCCCACCCAGTGCTGCGTGTGCAGAACGATCTTGAACCCTGGAAGCACTTGACCTACCCGAATTACTCCAGGTTGTTTATGTCTAACTAGGTTTCTAACCAGAAATCCTGTCTCCTTCTCTGGACCAATCTTGGGTTTCTCCAGAGCGAACACTGACCTTTCATAACCGGTATTCCTTTCACCAAGCAAGCTGAGGGGGCAGGGAGCCAGAGCCGAGGTGACAGGGCAGAAAGGCTCGGGCAAAGGGCTTTCCCTCCACGCTTCAGGTCCCAGGGCGGGTGGCAAAGCGTCTCCCTCTCCCGACTCTGTCTCAAAGGCAGGTCGCTCGCGACACTTCTGAAGGCCAAGCTTTCCTGTCTCTGTTCCATTTAGACCCGAGCTCCTTGGAGAGAGGCTCCAGCCGGGCCTTAGCCACTTTGCTACTCTCCAGAACCCTAACAAAAGCTGCCAAAAGCTGCCCAGCAGGCGCAGGGAGGGAGCTGGCCCCAGGGGAGAGAGATGGAGGAGATAGCGGAGCTGTGGTTAAGTCATTTATTGATTTTATTTCTAAAACCCACATAGCGCCACTTTGCCTCTTCCAGAGCTTCAAAGAGCTAATTAACCGCCCAATGAGCCCACCAGGGAAACCGGGCTTGTGGGGGAAGCAATGAGGTGAAGCCAAGGTCAAAGAGGGTTGCTAGGCCCCAGGCCCTGCCCCCATTCCGCCAGTTAAGGACAAAGAGAAGAGCCTTCTCTGTAGTTTTAGGGCCTGGTTAGAGAAGCCCACCGAACTTGCCTTGCTTCTGAGGTTTCTTAACCCCGCAGGCCCGTGGCAAAGGGGTACAGACATCCCGGATGCGGCACACAAAACCGGTTGTGCTTCACACAGAAGGCGCTGAGCAGGCCCAACTTGAAGGTGGAAAACAGCCCAGGCCAGAGTTGTCCCCCCTGGCCAGGGGCTGGTTGTCCCTTAACCTCCTCCAAAGGAAAGGCAGCTGGGAAGGGGCGGGCTCAATCAGGGTCTCCCTAGGGATGGTGCAGGCCAGCAACCGGAGTAGCCGCCGGGGCAAGGACCTCACCGCCTCCTCGTGCAGCCCTGACACGGATCTTTTCTGGTGCCAGGACAGGCACCACTCACTGCCTCACATGTGGAAGAACAGTCCGAGACCCTCTGCAAGGAAGTGCTTACAAAAAAGCACAGATGTGGCCCTTGCTCTTGCCCCCCCAGCCCTACCGCCTGTGGCACTGGCGGCCTGCAAGCTAGTCACCAGCAGAGAAAGAAAAAGCCACTTGGCGGTTTTAATTTTAGCTGCTCTGTGCCTCACAGGCAGGATTAGTTGGCTTGACCTTTAGTGCTGCTGCCTCCCTAGGCCTGGGGCCTTGGTCAGGTGGCAGCTTCCAGCAACCAGAGCTCATCAGATGGGGGGTTGGGGGTGGGGTCCAAGCCCCAGGGAAACACAGGGACCATGGGGATGAGGGGCAATGGGGGTGGAGAGGAGGTGCGAAGACCTGGGTCTCAGCTGTTAACCAGCCAACAGAGAGAGATGTGGGGCCACCCACCCACGCAGGCTTCCACCAGCAAAGCCACACACGGGGACACAGGTGGGAGGCTCTGTAATTAATGTCCCAGCTGTCCCCAGGGAGAGCGGGCGACTGGGGCCAGGAGCTGACGGAGGTAGGAAGTCACTTCGGTGTTGCTGTTAGAGGTGGGGGGAGTGGTTAAGAGAGAAGAAAATGAAGACACAGACCCAGAAAAACCACACTGCTCTTTTATTCAATGGAACACCCCCCTTTAACGCAGTGTTGAATCATACACCGAAAAAAAGCCCAGAGAAATTTCTGCAGATAAACCAGTGAAGAGAACGCGCATTATACATTATTGTCAACATAATCACTCCATGAAGAGGGAAGGGAGAAAAAAGGAAGTAGAACGAAAAACAAGGGGCTCAAACCCTCAGACACTGCAAAACATTCAGACGTTTGGGATTAAAATAAAATTTAAAAGGAAACCTTCCAGGAAGGAGAGGAACAAATGGCATCTGAGGCCGCTTAGCCGCTCAGGGAGCATGGCAAGGACTCTCCAGGGCGGCCTGGGTGGCCCCACCCACGGCCGGCACGGGTGCCAGGACAGGTGCTGGCCCCGAACCTGGAAATTAACCCACTTCTCTACAAAGGTGGCAAAGACGAAAATCTCACACTACAGAAGAAAAAAAAAAGTCTCTGGGGTGGTCATGGCAACCTTGAGAATTTTAGAACCAAAAGACTTCTCCCCCCACCCCCGCAACTAGCCTGACATCAATGGCCAAAGCTTGCACCTAAAACCATTTGCTCCCTCCTCTCCTTGGGAAGAGAAGAACAAGGAATGGAGAAAAAGGAAAGGAATCTAATTGCAGCAGAAGATCGGGGAAGAGCATCTCCTTGGACGGAGTCTGAAGAAAGGGAGAGATCAGGAAATAACAAAGGAAAAAGAAAAAAATTAATAAAAATGTCACGATATGGAGCCAGCGTGTTCCGATTCCGTCCACAAAAATAACTCAGGCTGCTTTGCCGAACCATCCTGTCCACCAGGGGCGCTGCTGAGGCTGTCTGCCTGGAAGGGTCACCAATGGGCGCGGAAAGTCCTCACTCTCATGGCTCGGGCCATCGCCGCCGCGGGGAGGGATCCTGGCGGCCCGGTTTGGGGAGAGGCAAAGGGAGTTGGGTGAGGAGAGAAAGAAGACAAAGAAGACACTCGATGCTACAGGGCGCCAGGAGAGCCCAAGCTGGCGCCCCTACTACCACCTGCCCGTTCCCAAGCGAGTCCTCGGTCGCTTGGCCCAGCCCGGTGCGTGCACACACACACATGCGTGCACACCAATCACATGCGTGCATCCCAATGTCTGGCTCCATATGGTGAGGTTCGGCGTGTGTTTAAACGAGACCAATTCTCTCTATATATAATATATATTTTCTTAAAAAAACCGAGTCTAGTTCTGTGGTGGAGGCGGTGGGGGAGCTGGAGGCATCCCGAAGGGCGGCATGCCCGCCACCCCCATGCCCATCATGGTGACAAAGTTAGAAGGGTCCATGGGAGGCGGAGGAGGAGGGGGCGGGGCATACATCATGCCGGCGGAACCAGGCGGCGGAGGCGGCGGAGGGGGAGGGGCCCCGGGCGGCAGAGGCGGCTGGACCCCGGGGGGCAGGGGCACCATAGTGGGGTTGCCTTGCATCTGAGGGGCTCCTGGAGAAGCTGCGGCAGCCGCCTGCTGCTGTTGCCATGGCGGGATGGACCCTGTGCCAGCGCTCGTGGTGGTAGTCGTCGTATCTGGGGTGGTAAAGAAGCCCAAGGTCACACGCGCGGGGGCACACCGCGGCTCTCTGCGGCTGCTGCCTTGGGATGGGGGGGCGAGGGGCGCCTGCTCCTTGCTTGGCATGCGGTACGGTGGTGGGGGGCGGGCGGGCGGGGCTGTCCTGGTGATGGGGAGTGGAGGGGTGGGCAGGACTACCCTGGGGTCAGCCTCGAGGTCTCTGGGCTTAACAGAGTAAGCCCTTTGTCACCAATGCCCCTGGAGGGGCTGAGGGAAAGGTACCAGACACAAGAACCGGCTCTGACATCCCTCCGCCCATCCGCCGCCACCACCGAACGGCACATTCAACCTCAAGGCCACAGCTACTCTCCCCGCAGCCCGGTCCCATCCCTGCAGTCGCTCAGGCCCCAATCACATCCCTCTCCACAGCATGCAAGCACCCTCCTTCCCCACCCCGGCCTGACGCACGGGCTCTGGCCAGCCACTGGCTGGCTGCTCACGCAGCCGGCTGCAAGCCTGCATTTCTGGTACCCTCCCTACGCTGGGAGGTTCCCTCCAGGTCCCCCAAAACCTCTCCCTAGACACAACCACGCCAAACACCAGTTCTCTTCCCCAAGATCCCCAGGATGGGCCACGAGGCCCTTTCTGTTTACGTCCCCAGCAGAGACCAGCGTCTCTTCCCAGGGCGTCCGCCTGCCCATGTGACCACCTCCCCATCCCACCCACCCCCAAAGGCCCAAATATTCCACTCACTTTGCTGCCATGGCAAGGGGGTACTGGAAGCCATACTGCTGCTGGGCGGAGGGGGTGGCGGAGGCTGCTGCTGCTGCTGCTGCCATGGGGGAAGAGGACCAGAGGGAGGGGGCGGGGGCTGCCCACTGGGAGGCGGCGGCGGCGGCGGCATCATGCCCATAGGCGGCGGCGGCATCATACCTGCAGGGAGGTGAAGTTGACGGTGAGGCCTCAGGGGAGGAGAGACTTAGGACAGAGACCCCTAAGGCCCAGGACAGGGCAGACCCCCAAAGCGAGCAAGGGACGGGCTGCATTACCTTTTCCTTGATGCAGGCGATAGACCCCAGAGCCCACAGGCGTACTTCCCAGGTACTGATCTTGATGGAAGGAAAGAGCAGGGACTTAGCAGGACATTGGAACTAGCCAGAGAAGATCTCCCCACCGACAGCACTTTCAGTCATACAGCCTGCAATCACTACCCTCGTAGCAACAGTTCTAGAACCTTGCCTTGAAGAAGCGGGGCTCTGTCTACCCCACGCAGAAAACACTTCCTGAACCAGAATGAAGTCGTGCTCCTCCTGGAGCCCAAGCCTTGGCAGGAGACCTGGTGCAATGCCCAGCCACTCCGAGGGCTGCTTCCAGCTCGCGGCAACCTGATGTAACCCTTGCTGCTCCCAAAGCCCCAAGATTTCTGGTCTGACACTTACTTACCCATTGGAGGAGGGCCATGATGCCCAGGTGGGTGGGGGCCCTGGTTCATCGGTGGTGGTGGCGGCTGCATCCAAGGGGGTGGGGGTCCATTAGGGTTGTGCTGCATGGGATGTCCACCATGCCCACCTGTCAGGCTGGGTAATGGGTGTGGGAAGCTGTGGGGGCCACCTCCGGGCCCACCGGGACCACCTCCGTGCATGCCGTGGTAGGGCCGACTCTCCGAAGGGCCGGAATTCATCCAGGGTGGGCGGCTCTGGGTGGTGGACATGAGAGACTATGTGAGAGCATTTCCCGCCAACGTCCCTGCTTGCTCCCCCTGGTGGCAACACTGTTCTTTCGGCTCTGCCAAGAGGACCAAAACACAAGGACAGGATCTTCCCCAAGTGAGAGATCCCCGAACATCCTGACATCCGGAAGAACAATGTTGCCAGCCATGTCTGTCCACCTGCTCTACCCAGAGCATCTGGCCATAGCGCCCCGGTCTCTGAGGAAGAGAATGGGGGCCAGGCCACAAGAACCAGCCCCGGAAACTCACCGGGGGAGGCGGGTTGTTGGCGGGAGCGGCAGGCCGAGGTGCGCTGGCCAGGGGCGTGGCAGCGGGCCCAGAGGTGGAGCCCACAGATGCTGGCACAGGCGCTTCGCCCAGCTCAGCCATGAGGGACAAGTACTCTTTATCCATCCGGGCTTTATCCTGAGCTGACTGGGGGTCACCGGGCCTGAAGGTGGAGTAGGGAATAGAGAGAAAAGGAAAAACACCTCATTATTAGGAAAGTTTTACTTTCTGAGAAATTGACGGTTTTGAGGAATCCAACCATCCTTCCTCAAAAGAGTCTCATCAAATTTTCAGTTCTGTGCCCCGCTCTGCCTCTGGGATCACCACGTGGATCTCTGCCACAACAGAGATGACCGAGAGCACATGACCATGCCAGCCACGGGAGCCAGGAGAGCACAGGCTCTTCCAAAAAGCAAACTTGCTTGCATCAAATCCTACATTCCCAGTTTGAGGGAAAGAACATATGCAAGACTAGAGCACTTGCCACATTTTCCACAGGAGAAAAAAGTAGAAAAACAATGCTATCAAGGGCTGGTTCAAAACCGGTCAAGAATCCAGACTGCTTAGCAGCAAAAAATAGCTAACACTGAGCCACAGTAAAAACATGTATACCCACAGTGGAAGTTTCCAATGTTCCTGAACTCACGATGAGCCACAAGATACAGATGTTCTGCACAAGCTGCTTCTAATCATTCTGGGCTTTTAACATCACACCATCACGGACCACATTCACAGAAAGGAAGCTTCTCTCAGGTCCGAAGAGTAACGAGTAACTAACAGTAACCCACCAACAACATGCTAACAAAAAAAAAAAAAAGCCTTGCACACCACAGGCTACAAAGAAGCTCCAACTCCAGCCGCTCACCTTTGGAATTTACAATCAGAAGCAATGTGGCCAGCCCCCCCACACTTGGTGCACACTGTGGTATTGGTGATGCTGCGGGTCTCTGAGCTCTGCCAGGGTCTTAGGATCCTGTCGAGGAAGGAGGGGGGAAAAAGTCATCAAGAGCTAGGGTCAAGCTCCCTTCTCCCACAGGTGCTTTAGGTCTGCGCACACTCTCCCTTCAAACTGATGACACACCTGTTATCATCTTCCCGAAGGGTCCCATTCAAGCGGGCCAATTCCCGAAGCTGCATCTTCCGTAGATCATTCTGGTCCTCAGGGGTCTCAATACCCTGCTTCAGGATGTTTCTGATCTAGCGGAGATGAAACGGACACAGTTAGGGGAGCACCGAGGCCACCGTATGACTTCTAGCAAAACGCTGCATTTCCGGCCGCCTCACCTGTTCCACGGCTTTCTTCACATTCTCCATGGTGTTGGCGGTAACTAGGGCGTGAAGCGGCTCATCTTCTCCAGGCAACATCTGGCCATCTTTGCGACCAACCTTCCCTTCTTTGACAGACCCCTTTCCCCGGATCATAATCTTGGCATTACACTCCTTCTCTATGTTCTTCAAGGTGTTCCCTCTATCAGAAGCAGAAAGAAGACAGTTTTTGTATTATTTGCCAGGCAAGGACACACGCCAGAAGAGACAGAGCAGGCTGATCATGCCGGCAGGAAAGTGTGAGTGCACGGATTTTCCCACCAAAAGCTCCATGACCCCAATTAAGGGCAGCCACAGCAAACAAGCCCCAAGATCGGACTTCTCTGCAGTAAAATGCAGAAGTTAGAAGAGATTTTCTCACAGAAAGGCACGAACTCCCACCAAAAACAGGAAGGGAAGCCATCAATGGCACCGAACGGGGCCTCGGACAGACCTCTCTCTCTCAAGTTCTCAGGAATGATGCGCTGTGCTGCAGGACCGCACTTACTCACCTGGGCCCAATCAGCAGCCCCACGAAATTGATTTCTGGATACTCATCTTGCGGAATCATTACTTTATCGCTCACCCGTGTTGCTGGAGGTCTAAGAAAGAAAAGACTCATGGACTTTGCATGTTTCTGAGAGAGGACAAAAACAAGGCACAGCTCTTCTAGAACCGAGAGGATATGTGAGTACCGGAACAGCTCTCCCAGATCACAGGTGTCCTCATCCTGGACCACCCAGCCCCTCTGCTTACTTGTAATCTGCAGGCGGCTTGAAATCAGGGTTGAGGGCAACCATTTCTGTGATGAGGTTGTGCCGCTCCTCTTCAAGCTTTTTGCGGGTACGGAACTCACGGGTGTTAAGCCGCTTCCCCTCGCTATTGTAGATGGGCTCAGGGGAAGGGGACCTGTGGGAAACAGAGCCCCGTTACTGCTCTGCCTTCACTTTTCTCATCCCACACGGGCTAAAATTAGTCTTCCCCAGCCCCTCTGCCTCTCAGACCCTAACACAACACTCTTCGGAGGAACCGACCATAACGTGTGCTATTCAAGATCGTGTGGATTGGGGAGATGAGAGCTGGCTTAGCATTAGGATTGGGGTGTGTGTGAGAAAGGAAAAAAAAAACGGTCTGGTTTCTAATTGTTGAGAAGAAAAATGTCTGTCCTTCTGGGGGATAATCTCTTGACTGTAAATGGCAAGGACAGTATCATCTTCTGGAGTCTTCTTGCCAAGTATGGATTTTTCGTTTAAAAAAAAAACTGTACAGTATTACAACTCTATGAACCACGGAAACCCCAAGTTTAGGTAAAATGTGGACTCTTGCAGAGCTCGCGCCCTATCAGGAAGAGTGTCTGCACCCCTACCGCAGAGTACTAAGTACGAGCTCTTTAACCCAATGCGACTGGGACTCAAGGCTGCTGCAGCTACTTGGCCCCACAATGGAGAGAGATGGTTCAAGGCTTCGTCTCTGCTTTTCCTTCAATGGCCTGGCTGGCTGTGTCCAAGGCCCAGGAGCCAACCTGTTTTCTGGCTGTTCGAGGTTGGGGAGTCTGGGTAGAGAAAAACGTTAAAGTGCTAAAGCAGCTTCTGCTAGAGGCTGCGAATGCAGATTTGGTCAAGTACTTGTCTAGGGTCTGGACCTGCAAACGGCAAGGGGAAAACCTAGGATTCTCCACCAGAGTTTACAAGTCCAGAAAGCAGATTTTCTCTCTCTCATTTTTTTAAGGAGTAAAATGCTGTTGCTACAAGTAAAAAATAGTAATGATAAAATGGTCAGTTTACCACAGCTGGAATTTGCGGTAATAAAAAAAAAGAGACGTTACGCTCCTAGAATTCTGAGTTGAGATTACAAAAAGGACCATAGCTTGATATTCTGAATGAAAATTTAGTAGCAGCTGCAAGAAGGGAAGAGATCATGTGGATCAGGTTATTAAAAAAAACATCCTGAAAGTAGTCAAGACTCCTATACCCTTGGTTTAGTTGAGAGAACCTTGTCTAGTTGGAGAGCAAGGACTGAACTCGGCTGCTCCCACTGTCTTCAGCCTAAAGGGAACCATGTCATACCACATTACACACACGATGGAATAAAAGGTCAGGTTTGTTCATGGCTAATGACGGCTAAATGACACCTCCGTTTCTAGCATTTATATAAACTGTTGACACAATCCAATGATAGTGAACAAAAGCAAACATACCCCAGCTCATTAGACTATCAGCTTATACATTTAAGTCTATAAAAGATCTTAAAAACATTTTTAACTGTGCAACTTAAGCAACATCAAAATAGCAGAAAGTGGCTTAATGTTGAGAATACACCTTCTTAAGAAATAACCTTATTAAGGTAAGAAACTCATGCAATTTCCTCCAACCTGGGCTCAAAAGCAAAACCAATGAGGCATTAGGCCCTCTTTCAAACTGAATACAAGGGAGGAGAAAACTCTGCTCTGGTTGGATTTCTAACATGCTTGACATTTCTAAGTCCCACCCCACAGCTGTCTAGAATTTAAGCATTTCTGGCTAATCAACAGAACAAGTTTTACCAGTACCAAATTGGTCATTTAAAAGCCTCCCAACAGTTTAACCTCTTCCCAAATTGTGAATGTAAAAGGCAATAAATAGCTAATATTCTAGGTCAGAATGGCCCGACTTCTTCACTTCGAATAGGCATCATATAGATGAACTAAACTCTAATCCCAGTTCTCCAGAAAGCAAAGGTTTGTTAAAAATTCAACCTTTTGAGGAATTGCCTGGTAACCTGTTAGACATATTACTAAACAGAAAAAGGCCCAAAAAAAAAAAAAAGCACTCAACAGTTGTGGTCTACAACCTACAATGCAAATCTGGGGGGTGGGAGGGGGGGTGGAAAAACAACACCAAAAAATATAAAACACAACCTTCCAACCAAAATCTACAGGTAAAAAATAATAAATTTAATCACGTAAAGTTAGAGAACACATGGAGAAACTAATTTGTTCCCTGACAAATGGCAGCAGAAAGATGCATAAGCGAGTGGCTTCTAAAACCATTATATCATCTTCCTGATTTAATGAGCCATTAATTGGGTAATAAAAGCCAAAAACACTAATTCTTAAAGTGCTTTCAACTGTGATGCGTTCACTAAGAAATTTCACCGAGAGGGAGGCACACTGCCCTTTTGGTAGATGGACCGGACTTTAGTGGCTTTAAGTTCAACCAGCCAGTAAAATTACTGGTTAAAAAGTTCATTTCCCTCAGACTCTTCAAAGCTGAGAGAAATGATAAACTGAAATGACATGACCACAGCTGTTTGAAGACCCCACTCTTAAAAAAAAAATAATAATAAAGGTGATTTAGGGTTGGCGGCTAGCCTTTCCCAAATAGGTGAGAAATGTTCTGGCCCCTCCCAATACCCCCAGGCAATGGCCAAGGCTGAAAATTCACTGGCAGTGAAGGAAGGTGGTTAGAAATCTCAGCTATTTTAAAACCATCTCAAAACCACAAGGAGGACTGCAGCAGTGAGTTAACCAGATTGGGCTTCTGGTCTGCTCAAACCCAGTAATGCTTAAAAATAGTCTTAATCCCTGCACCGTGTACCTGTGAGAAAAACTCTATACCCTTGGCTTTCCACCCAAGCGGTTACTGTGAAGGCTGGTGAACGGGCCACACCTCCCTGACCCTAGCGAGGGTGAGTAAATCAGGTGAAAACCTACACGCTTACCAATTGCAAACCAGTTGTCCATTTTCCCGTAACTTTTGACTCTGCTAGCAATTAAGTTTCACTCCAATTTTCTAACTGATGACTAACCACATAGATTGCTAATTAAACCCTAGGCCCAATAATCAAGAGTATTATCAGTCGTCTTACTAGGATTTCTTTGAACTGACACATTATGTTGCCACCAGTAAAACGTATTGAGAAAAAGGTAAAAGCGTTACTGTCAGCTGGTTAAAACTGTTTCCCAACCTGTCCTCAGGGTTAGGGGGGATGCCCAGGTCTCCTGTGCGCAGTTTACGAGTCAGGTCTTCTATCTGCAGTTGCACTGGAAGAAACCAGGTTAGGAAAGAAAAAAAAAGGATGGAAAAAAGACAATGTTACCAAAAAACATCTCAAATCTCAACAACAAGCATGAAGAACTCGGAGACTTTGAAAGGGACGACTGATCAGTGAACACTTTGAGGCAAAAACCCCCAACCACCTATCGGCAGGAGTCCATTTACATCTATAGGTATTTTTCACTTCAAAATGGTTATCACTTAAGGAAGCAAACAGTTTGTTGGAAGAGGGGTTAGCAGTATAGACTGTTCACTAAGGCCAACATCAAAGCAATGGTTCGGTGTTCCGCCTCTCCCTCCCCACCAAGTGGCACCCAGAACAAAGCACTATGTTATCATCAATACCCTGTTCCCGACCAAATTACTTGGAGGGCAAGACTCTTGAGAGTTTGTGTATAATAAGTATTAAGCATAGCCCAAAATGAAATCCAATTCACATGGGACAAGGAAAAATACCAGTTGAGCAAAGATCATTTTCATTGATACGATTCAAAATTCCTCAAATAAGACATTTAATAACCAATTCAATACCTCATAAAAAAGTTTATCATACATACTCTTTTTGTACAACCCGATCCGTACTAATAAGGATCTCCTAGTACCTGTTGCTTTTGTTCAAATCTTCATATACGTTAGTAAACCAGTAAACCGTGAGAAGTTAACAAGTCTGTTTTCAGACTTGCTCCTTGTGAGGGGAGTAAAAGTAGGAGTGTAGAAAACAGAAGTGTGGGTCAAGGAGAATGTGTGTGGCCCTCAGACCTTGACAAATGAGGCTGTATGTGAAAGAGAGAGGAGGGTTTCACAAAAGTTCAGTGACTCCAGGGAAATGTTACCCGGCTGATTTCTCAAGATAATGGGAACTGCAGAGCAAGATCGTTTTCTTCAGCGTGCTGAATAGCCACCTGTTTCTTACCTTTGTAGCATCTGAGAGTTGTGAGCAGGCATCTCTAACAAGGGCAAGTTATTAACTAGGCTGGGTTAACGTTAAGTTGGCTCCCAAACAGGACTAGTACAGGTCTAGCCCAAGCTCTCCTAGTTTTAAATACACCCCACAAAGCTATACCATATACCCACTCCCAATTCCAGATGTGAAAATCCACCTTCCTATCAAGAGAAGATACTTGGGGGCAACTGTACAAAGCAGCGTGTACTAGGAGAGACAGAAGATGAGTAAGATCTCAGGACCCCTAAGCCCTTTTATGCCAGGAAAGTTCTGACTTGACGGGCAAGTATTAAGCTCAAGAACTCAAGTGAAAGTCCCCCTCATGGGGGCAGGCAGTCCTAACTACTGTAGGGATGTGGGGTCTGATCTAAGGAAATAGCTGGCAATTAAACCGGAAGTTTGGGATCTTCCTTGGAGCTGAGATCTACACTGGCCTCAGCTTTGACTCTATCCACTTTGATTATAGCTGTAAACAGTCCTTCGGGCTCAGTGCATTAACTCCCTACACAGAAGAGAACTGAAGAGATATAGAGAATAAGTTTGCTTTTCCCATTTTCTAAGACTGTTTGTGTTCTTGGGATGTCATCCCACTAGGGACATTTCACAAGGTTGTAAAGACCCAGACCGATCTAATATAGGAGATGAGGGGGTGGGTGGCAGTAGATTGGAACAGTGGGGAAAGAAGAAATATTAGTACTGTGAGAACAAGATAAACAATTCCAACACCCCAAAACGCTCAGCATTTAAAAAACGTGAGATTAAGATCCTCAAGGGTAACACATGCCAGGCTTGAAGCTTGTATTTGTGAAGGGCCCAGCCTCATTGGCCTAGGCAGCTTTTGCCCTAATTTACTCCAAAGGGGATGTTTATTTGGTTAGTAAGATATATTCTGAAGTGAACTTTTCAGAAACAGCTGCAGATACATGAATAAAGGTGAAACTTGCATTAAAAACCTTGTGTTTAAAAAAAGGTAATTTTGAGATTAACCTCATTTACATTGTGGACAGTCATTGTTAATTCTTGCAATTTCCCCACAATTAAGATCTTTCACCCTATCACCTCCTTCCATATCCAAGTAGCACCCCTTTCCCAGCAGAGTTCTTTGATGGTAAATAGTACAAGAGCCCTCGTTTTAAGACAGCTCTCCAAGACCAAACCAGAAAAGATGCTGAAGGAAAGGTTAGATTCAACAAAATGGTAAAAAGGGGTGCACTGTGAACACTTTCAGAGACAGCCTTTGATTAAATTAAATTTTTTTTCTTTTCAGAAAGTACCTATAAAAAAGTAAAAGACCACATTTGAAGGGGAGGGAGGAATATGAAATTATGGTGAAAAGCCATGCTGTGAAAAAGGTACTTAGTTTATAATACCTGCAGTGTTCTCCACTGGGCCGTGTCCAGAGAGGCAGAAGACACTCCCCTCACAACTGACAATGAACAGGAGCTGAAAAGGGCAGGTGGGGTGCTGGACCGGGGACTGCCCTCACTCCTAAGGTGGATCCCTCTACCTTCCTGGCACTCATGGAGAACACTGCTGTTACAGACAGACCAAAACAAGGAGCTGCAAACGCAGGACTTACACAGCAAAAACTGATGTTATGTCAAAGTTAAGAATACACACCTGCTGACACCTCATCTTAAAAGAACAAGACTTTAAGGTCTCAAACTGACAACACATAGAATGTTGCTCAGAATAAATTGTGACAATCTGAAAACGCATTTGGGTGCAGAACGTGTATTTACCTATATAAGCTCTTTCTTGTTCCCGAGTAAGTCCAGGGGGGATAACCGTAGGCATTCCCGGAATCACCGTCTTCTGTTCCATCGTATCTTGGTTCCAGCGACTCCTCTTCCGCTTCTTACTTGGGAAGTCTAAAGGCGGATAAAGTCCATCAAATGCAAATATAAACTGTCGAACTACAAACAGGCAGATCAAGACACTTATGACACTACATACAACCTCCACAGACTGCGGGAAGCCTGAGAGCTTGACCTAAGACATTTTGTAAATGTCAAAAATTAAAGACAAACCAGAGAGAAGTCAGAGACATGTAGCCACTACAAGGGGACCTGAGTCCAAAAAGGTTAAGGTTTCACGTTTAGAATGTGTCCCAAGAAACCATGAAGTACGTAAATGAACGAATATACGTCTTAAGTGTCAAAAGCTTCAGACCTACGCCACCTGTGGACGCCTTAAAAGCCCCAAAGGAGACAGAATATACTGAAGGATCAGGTTCGTGCAGTACTACTAAGGAAACTGCTGGTTCTTCCCCCCTCCCGACCAGTCACTTTTCCAACTAAACCTACCATTTACTAAGTGAAAAAGCCCCATTTTCCAACAAGATTACTTTTTTCTTCATCCGTTTGGCAAAGTTAAGTGTTCAATCGTCCGGACCAATTAGGCATACAGTACGGGATGTACCAAAAATTCAGCCAAGAACAAGCTGTACAACAGCAACCAAACCCTCCTCCTCAGATACAACTTGCAGAATTCCCTACACCGGTGAGACTCACAAGTCAGATCTACCTGCCAGGGAATGCAGGTCCAGGGAGCAAAGCCCCAACGACTAAGGGGAGGCATTACCAGATAATAAATGCACGGAGATCAGGAAAAATTTCTCTCCTTCCAAAAAGGGCTTCGGCCCCAACCACACCCTGAGGACTTCCAACCTTTCTTTCACTGTAATGAAAACCTTGCCTTGATGCAGAAAGAAGCTTGTCTTGCCATTTTTCTGCCTTTTGGACTGCCCTACAACCAGGAAGGAGGCGCTCCACGTCATCAACTGACCCTTTCATGGTGTCCTAACACGCACACCCACCACCCTGTCCGCCAAATCAACCCGCCCCACGCCCTTCTCCTCTACCAGGGGCTAGAGAACCACCCAGGTCCCCACCCGCCCCGCCAGATTTCGGTCCGGCCGCGAAGCGCGGCCACCACACTGCGCCTGCGCACAGCGACCCTTCGCCCTCCCCGCCCCCTCCGGCGCGCGTGCGCACTCGGGGCCCGAGAACCGGGCTGCGCGCCCCGTGGCGCCTCCGCCCGGGGCCTCCCCGTGCGCGCGCGCGCCCCTGCCGCGTGCAGCCGCCGTCGCCGCCGCCGCGCGCCCCTCAGGCGGCCGGGCCCGTCCGCGCGACGCCTCTCGCGCTCTCTCGGCCCGACTCACCTCCTCCGCCGCCGGCCGGGCCCGGCTGCTGCTGGTCCTGACGCGGCGGCTGGGGTGGCGGCAACTGCGGCGGCGACACGCGCTGGTAGAGCGGCGGCGGAGGGGGAGGAGGCGGCGGCGGCGGCGGCTGCTGGGGAGGCGGGGGCGGCGGCGGGGGCGGCGGCGGCAGCGCCGCGAAGGGGAAGGCCGCGGTCAGGGCCCCCACCGAGCCCACGGGCGGGGGTGGCGGCGGCGGCCCGGGCACCAGCAGCCCCGCCGCCCCAAGCCCGGAAGCAGGCGGAGGCCCCGGCTCGAAGCCCCCCTTGGGCCCGGAAAGGGGGGGGAGGCCGGGGGGGCCCAGCTTACCCAGCGGCGTGGCGTTCGCTCCGGTCGCCATGGTGCCCCCGGGGACCGGCACCGGCGGCTCCTTTTAGGCGGCGGCGGCTTCTTCGCGAACCTTCCGGGGGGAGGGGACCCGACTGCGCTGCCGCGGAGCGCGCGGAACCCGTCCTCTCACGCGGCGGGCGGCGGCGGCGCGAGACGCACAAAGAGGGAGGAGAGAGGGCGCCGCGGGGGCGGGCCGGGGGCGACGGGTCCGAGGCCTGGATTGGGCCGAGCCGAGGCAAGGGGGTCGGAATCGGCGGCCTCCGATTGGCGGAGCCTTAGCCCTTCTCGATGCACGCTGGGATTGGCCGGACCGTTAGGCCTGGCGAAGAAATGGCGGACGAGCCTGGCGAGCTAGGAGGTGTCGCAGCGCGCACTTCATTTGTTACTGCGCGAACTGAGCTCGGAGTCCAGAAAGGAGGGGGGTAGGGTGGGGCAAACTCTGTGACGTGAGAGCCAAGAGCTTTCTCATTGGCTGAAGTTGATTGAGTCAATCATTCTCAGTTGCGTCGTAGTGTCATGGGATTGGCTGTCGCTTGTTCGATTCTTTTTCTACTCCCCTCCCCCGGGGAGCAGTTTCGCTGGGATTAAGCGAGAGGTCGCGGGGGTAAAGCCGCTGCTGAACGAGATTCACGGCGGGGGTGGAGTGGAGCAGGAGCGCGCATGCGCAGCTGGGACAAAGTGGCCTCTCCGCCCTTTGCTTCATGGTCGACCCTGGGGTCCGGCGCGGAAGCCTAGGTGACGTCAATTCTCGATTCCCATGGTAACCCGGAACTGGGGGACAGGGGAGGGGCCGGCGCGCGCCGGTAAACAGGATCCGTTGAGGAGCCGCAGGTAAAAAGGGACTTCCTGTTTTCTTAAGAAAGAAGCGATAAGACAGTTTTTTTGAAAGATTAAATGCAATATCTGAGCCGACAGAAGAACACATAATCTGAGGCGAAAAGCAATATAATGTCCATTTCAAAATTATTTTACAAACACGTTGCATTTCCATTAGAGTCTCAACTGGGTTGGGGGGGTTGATTACATCACCCTAAAATCATAAAATTATGAAATGAAAATAGCGGGGAAACTTGTAAACGAGGCGGAGGAGGAACTTGCATTTCAGACGATACAAACAGTATAAAAACCAGCATAATAAAACTATGTAGTGTTATAGGAAAGACAGATTAGTGCAACAGGAAAAGACTGGGAATTGATTTCCCCTTATGTAGGTAGATTCCGTAAGGCAAAAATTTAGCTAATAAAGCGTAGAGAGTGCTGAATTAGACAATAAAACAGACACGGAACACAATGTAGGACACTATCAGAGCCCCCTATAGAGACTTTTAGGAAGACAAGAAACTCAGAGTAATAAAAGATGACCACCAAAGAAATTAGAACTGTAAAATAAAAGTCGGCAGACAATAATACGCTAGGAAAATAAACTTGCCGCACATGAAGTAGAACTTATATGCAAAGAAGTCTTCGAAGTTAATTAGAGGGGGTGCACCTGGATTGCTCAGTTGGTTTCCCACATGACTCCCTCTCAGGCCATGATCTCCCGGTTCATGAGTTCAAGCCCCATCCCGCTCGGTGCTAACAGCTCAGAGCCTGGAGGTTGTTTCGGATTCTGTGTCTCCCTGTCTCTATGACCCTACTCTCTCTGTCTCTCAAAAATAAACATTCAAAAAAATTTTTGTATGTTTATGTCATGTTTGAAAACGAAGTAAAAGTTAATTCATTCAGTTAATACAACATATTCTCTGGAGGAGGAAAGAGTTCAGTGTGTGAGCAGTTACTGACTGCAAAACAGCTTGGTGGATAGCGGAAGTAAATGAAACTCAGTACCTGCTTTCCAGAAAATCATAGTCTAGTAAAGGAAAAAAAAAACCGCACAACTGAAAATGTACTGTTAATACAAATAGTGCTGCTGCCCTTCTGATAACAGCAAAGGCTCTGTGTGATGGGTCAGTACCTGCACTCCTCTTTAGTTGTTTCCGTTGAATTTCTTCTTTTATCCAGGATTCTCGTGAGAGTGTTTTTAAAGTCCAAGTTAAAATGTTTTGGTGGTCTTTATTAATTTTTATTTTTGCAGAATGTGGCCTTTAAAATCTCTTCAAAAAAGGATACTTTTTTTTTTAAATATTTTTTTTAACATTTATTCACTTTTTTTTTTTTTTTTTAATTTCTAGGAGAGAGAGAGAGAGAGACAGCGTGAGCAGGGGAGGGTCAGAGAGAGAGGGAGACACAGAATCTGAAACAGGCTCCAGGCTCTGAGCTGGCAGTCAGCACAGAGCCCGACGCGGGGCTCGAACCCACAAACCGCAAGATCATGACCTAAGCGAAAGTCGGACGCTTAACCGACTAAGCCACCCAGGCGCCCCAAAAAAGGATAGTTTTCTTTATGGCCAAGTATATGATTAATTTTTAGAAGTGCTCCACGGACGAGTGAAGAACTAAGTTCGGATGTTGGCTACTCCAGGCTCTGTTCTGGGTTCCTTACATATAGCAGTTCATTTCATTCTCACAACCACCTTCGGAGATGGTTCTCATCTCCAATTTATAGATGAGAAAATGGAGACACAGAGAGGATAACTACCCCAAATCTACCAGTGTGGTTTCCTGATCCAAGACTCCTGTTCGGTCAGAACGGGATTGGAATGCAGTCCATGCCACTTTGTGGCCCAAGGACCAGCAGGCTGATTCTTCCCAGTTTGGAGACAGTTTGGAGTCTTACAGAGCCAGACCAGCCATCCACCAGCAGGCAAGTGGGAAGTAATTTAGTCTCTCCATACCTCAGTTTCTTTGTCTGCACTGTGCTGATCCAGTGAGATCAGAGAGCACCGTAGGTTTGAATAGGAACTCCCTGGTCTGCAGAGACAAGAACGACACACAGATTTCGGACAGAGATGTCTCCTGATTTTATACGAGGGTGCAGTACAATTAAAAAAAAATATGTTATCTTGTCTTTGTCCCAAGATCCTGGCACAGAGCTCCAAAAACCTTTAGGATCTCCTGAATGATATGAGTAACAAGCCCCTTTGGACCATACCCGAGTTTAAGTTCACAGGTGACTCATTGCCAGCCCTGAGAGCCCTGAGATAGCTTCAGGATGCTGGCTGGTCAGAAAAACCACCCAGCTCTCAGTCCCACCTCTGGAGAAGAGAGAGGGCCTGGAGACTGCATTCAATCACATGGCCCATGATTTCATCAATCATGCCTATGTAAGAAAACCTCAGAAACCCTGAACAATGAGGTTTGGAGGGCGGAGTTGGTGAACATACTGATATGACAGAAGGGTGGTAGATACCCTGACTCCATAGGGACATAAATCAGCTCCTGGGTTCAGGACTGTTCCAGACCTTGCCGCATGTCTTCATCTAGCTGTTCACTTGTATCCTCTGTAGTAAAACAGCAGTCATAAATGTAGTGCTTTCCTAAGTTCTGTGAGTCATGCTGGCAAATTGTTGAACCTGAAGGGGGTTTGTGGGAACCCGGAAATTGCAGGCACCAGGACTTGAGGCTGAATTCCTTAACCCGTGGCGTCTTCACCAACTCAGAGTAGTTCATGTCGGAATTGAATGGACTTGGAAGACATTGGTGGGTGTCAGAGAATTGGTGTTGGAATCTGCAAGGTCCCGAGTGTCACCTGGGTGCCTGGGTGGCTCAGTTGGTTAGGCGGCTGACTTCAGCTCAGGTCATGATCTCCCAGTTTGTGAGTTTGAGCCCCACGTCGGGCTCTGTGCTGACAGCTCAGAGCCTGGAGCCTGCTTCGGATTTGTGTCTGCTGCTCTCTCTCTCTCTGCCCCTCCCCAGCTTGTGTGCATGTGCGCACTCTCTCTCTCTCTCAGAAATAACATTTAAAAAAAAGTTTCGGCCCTTCCTACTAATCTCTGGCATTTTCCGTCTTTTAAATCTACATCTGATAGTTCAGAAACCCCAGCCCCTGGCAAGACTGGTTGGTAGTACCATGTAGCTAGCTGACGCTGGAAGTAGCAAATCCATGGTTGTTTGCCTCTGCGTCCACCCTTTGGAGAGCCCCACCTGTGATTCCATTACCTGCATTAGGAATAACGCTATCTAGCATGGAGTGAGCACCCACTCCGCACCAAGACCTTTCATATTTTTTCCTGCAAAATCATGTTTATTTACAACCGCCTAATTTTTTTTTTGTTTTTATTTAAAACAATTTTTATTTATTTTTCGGGGCGGGGGGAGAGCAGAGAGAGGGAGACACAGAATCCAAAGCAGGCTCCAGGCTCTGAGCTGTCAGGGGCTCAGAAATCCTAGACCACAAGAACATGACCTGAGCTGAAGTGGGATGCTTAACTGACTGAGCCCCTATTTACCACTTCCTGTTAAAGCTAATTTGAATTAGTGGGAGATAGGTAGTGAGATTTGTGACTTTAGGTACAGATTATAATAGGGCACCTGGGTGGCTCAGTCAGTCAAGCGGCCAACTTTGGCTCAGGTCACAATTTCGCAGTTGGTAAGTTTGAGTCCTACATCGCACCCTAGAGCCTGGAGCCTGGTTTGCATGCTGCATCTCTCTCTCTCTCTCTCTGCCCCTCCCCTGCTCGTGCTCATGCTGTCTCTCAAAAATAAATAAAATGTAAAAAAAATTTTTTTTTAAGAGATAATAGCATTTAACAGGTATGTGCAAATCATGTACCTGATAAAGGACTTATATCCAGACTCTCAAGACACAACAAGAAGACCCTACTTTTTAAAACGGAACCAAAGAGATGATCAGACTCTTCTTTTTTTTTTTCCTTCTCTTCTTAAAAATTTTAAGTAATCTCTGCACCCAACGTGGGGCACACACTCACAACCCCGAGATCACCAGCTGCGTGCTCTACCTCTTGGCCAGCCAGCCACCGCCAAACAGACTCTTCTGCAAAGAAGTCGTATAGATGGTAAATAAGAACAGAAAAAGATGCTCGGCAACAATCATGAAAAAAAAGTAAATTAAAACCACGAAGAGATTCCACGACATATCTCTTTGGCTAAACCAACCACACACCAAGTGTCATCAAGGACATGAAAGGGTTAGAATTCCCCTACCTTGCTGGCAGGGATGTAAAATGGTATAACCACTTTGGAAAAGAGTTGGGCAGTTCCTTAAAAAGCTCAACTGCGGGGCGCCTGGGTGGCTTAGTCGGTTAGGCGTCCAACTTTCGCTCAGGTCATGCTCTCGCAGTTCGTGGGTTCGAGCCCTGTGTCGGGCTCTGTGCTGACTGCCAGCTCAGAGCCTGGAGCCTATTTCAGAGTCTGTATCTCCCTCTCTCTCTGACCCTCCCCTGCTCATGCTGTCCCTCTCTCTCTCTCTCTCTCTCTCTCTCCCCCTCCTAGAAATAAATTTAGAAAGAAAAAAAGAAAAGCTCAACTGCACTTCCCACATGCTCCAGCCCTTTCACTCCGAAGTATTTATCCAAGAGAAATGAAAGTTTATGTCCACACACAGAAACATACATTAGTGTTCATAGCAGTTTTATTTTGTAATAGTCCAGAGCTGGAAAAAGCCCAAATGTCCAACAGGTGACTAGCCAAGCAAATTGTGGTATACCTATTAGATGGAGTACTACTCGGCAATGAAAAAAAACAACGATTATACATGCAACATGTGAGTCATAAACCAATTTGCTTAGTGAAAGGCGAAGAGGAGGGCATACTGCACGATTCTATTTATTTCAATTCTGAAAAATGCACATTCATCTATAGTGACAGAGAGCGGCTCAGAGGCTACTATGAGGAGCAGGAGGGCATGATTGCAAAGGAGCAGGGAAACTGAGGGACAGGATGGATGTTATCTTGATCATGGTGATGGTGTATACATATGTCATCATCAAATAGTACAGTTTCAGTATATGCAGTGTATGGGGTACCAATTATCCCTCAATAAAGCTTTTTAGTTTAAGTTTATTTACGTAATCCCTATACCCAACATAGAGCTCGAACTCATGACCCTGAGATGAAGAGTTGCATGCTCTTTCAACTCAAGAGCCAGCCAGATGCTTCTCAATAAAGATATTTTAACAAACAATAGAGGAAACTAGAGAAAGACAGAGGCATCTGCCTGTAATTCTACTCACAACACTGGTTTCATACTATAGAGAAGGATTATCTTGGCTTTTGGTTTCTGAAGTCATTACAGGGTCTTATTTTTCTAGAGATTATTTGTACGTTTAAACTTACATGTCCCTCCACAGTATTTGAAACATACAAAAAGAACTGACATACGTTGAACGCCTGTGAGCCCATCACCCAACCTGAGGACCAAGATTTTACCAAAACCCTTGCAAATTCCTGGGGTCCTTCCTCATCCCACCCCCGTCTCCTCTCCTCTCAGAGACCAGCATCGTGACCTTTGTACTTTTTCTTCCCCGATCTGGATAGTTTTATCACTCGTGCATGTATCACTAGACAACAAATGGTTTTGGGTTTTGAGCTTTAGAAAATGCTATCACGCTGTGGGTAGTTTCATGGGATTTGCTGTTTTAATTCAGTATTCGATCTCTGAGGTTCATCTGTGTTGTGTTTTGTGTTATTACGGCATTTTCCATGCTCTCAATAGCGATGCAGGCAGACTTGGGGCTTGCTATATGTGGGGACAAAACAGCTCGGTGAGCTGGTCTGGTCAAGAAGGCAGCCTGCAGGACCCCCTCTTTGCCCCCTCAGGCCCATCCCTTCACTCAGAAAGCACGTCTGAGGGCCTCTGCACCAGGCAATGACCAGGCGCTGGACGTGCCACAGAAACATGGCCAGTCCCTCGCCATTCTGGAGCGCATGGTTTTGGTTGTCACCTTGACCTCTGACCCTCACTTGGCTACGAGCCAGTTACCTGAACATCCTGGGGCACCCATGCCTCTTCCACTTACCCACAGAATGGCTTAAAGAGGCCAAACTGACCTATCTCAGAAGCTTCGGCCCAGAAGGGCAAGCAATTTTGACAAACAAGAACAAACACGGCCACCCTGACCCAGCAATGCCGCTTCCAGGAATTTCTGAAATTCCCATGGGACACCTGAACGGCCTAATATTTATTGCACAAGAATATTTATTGCAGTGTTGTCTATAATATGAAAGTAATAGAAACACATTTACATCCAAAGGGATCTAATCAGGTTAATGAACAGGGGTGTGGGAAGCCCATACAATGAAACACCGCTAGCTATAAAAAAACAAAAATAAATTAAAAAAAAAAAAAAAAGAGGGAGGCAGTGATAATGGAAAGCTGTCCTAGTCGTATTTTAAAAGGGTAAGAGCAGAAAGGTATGTGGAATATGTTACCACAGGTATAAAAAAGGAAGAAGAAATCATACTGAGCTGCTTAAGTCTTTCCAGAAAGGTTCATGAGTAACTGAGACCTAGATAGGTGACTTTTCATTGTATCTCTTTTGTGTTTTTAAAAAATAGCGCGCCACAGACCAGGGCTACCTATTTAAAAATACATAAATAAATAACACTCGGGCTTTCCGTGCAAACTCCCAGCTTCCTGGGCTTTCTCTGTCTTGTGGCCAGCCTGTGCTGCCAGTGAATATTTTACTCGAAGCCCTTACTTCCCCCCCCATCTCCCACTTTGGCATGTTAACGCTCTTGACTCCCCCCCACCCCCTTTTCAAAAGATGTGGGTGGCAGCAGAGGGTTGGGGCAGCCTGCCACAAGGTGGCGCTCTCTGCTGACCGCTGCTTCGCAGGTAGAAGGTCTGTCCTCCCCAGGCACCTGGGATCCGGGTCAGGGGCCTCTGCTGAGTGGGAGCTCACCTCCCCACCCCTAGCATGCCTCACCTTAACCCTGCACCCCCACCAAGAAATCTGGAGACTGAGAAGTTAGGAATTCTATCCCTGTCGCTCCACCATTTGGCCCATCACGTCTGCCAGGCAGGTGCAGGCCTTCAGAACTTGGGAGGTACCTGTCACCCTCCTTTGGGTCTCAGGGAGAGCAAAGTTGTGAGTGCCAATGCACAGAAGCCTTGTCTCCTTCCCTGCCTGACAATCCATTTCAGCCAAGGAACCCCAGGAATCAGAGCAGTCAGGGCTCTGAAGGAGAGTGGACAAGGAGGGCACTATGACGACCTGGGGTCACCCTGGGCCGCTGGAGGCTCTTCACACAAGCTGCCATCTACCTCCCCGCCCCCATATGCATCTATTTATCAAATACCAGCAACCCACCGGGTAGAGAAGTTCTTAATTCAAACAGTTGCCTTTACTTTCAGAAGAAAGATCACTGGGCTGTTGCTCAAGCTCTTCCCCCAGACCCAAGGCCTTCCCACCCTATGCAGCCATGGTCTTGTGTGTGCACCTGACCTCTCCTTCAAGGCCAGCTGCCATCCTACCTCTTTGACCTCACCTGCCCACAGGCTCTGGTCAAAAGCAGCCTGGTCTTTGCCTGAGACAATGGGGGTCTCCCTGGCCTGAGGGTATGGAGCCCTCCAAGAGGGAAAAGTGGGAGAATGAAAATGCAAACCACAAGGTCAGCCCTGGGTAGACAGACATACCCTCAAGACGCAGGCTCCAGCAAGGACAGCTCCCTTCCCTGGGGGCTGGTCCACGTCTTGGTAGTGACCCCTCTGTGAGCCCGGGGTCTGGCACTGAGAAGGCCATCTGGGAATACTTGTTAAATGGACAGAGGCTCCTCTTCCCGGAGCCCGGCCTGATGACGGAGCCCGTACTTAGCAGTGTTGGTCTGATGGCGCACGCTGAGGCCTAAGCAGCAAGTGAGAGGCAGGGAGGCAGCCCTGGGCCTGGGCAGGGGATACAGATCAGGACAGGTGGTGTCCATAAACCAAAGCCTCGCTGGCACTGGGCGGAGCTGCCAGGGGCTGGCCCTTCCTGGGTGCCGGCTGCCTGGTGAGATCCTCTACAGGGGCAGGCGTGCCCCGGATGAGAGTCCCTTTGTTCAGCCGGCCTCCCCCATCTGCTCGATTCCTTGGCCATAAAAGAGGCCTCATATTACACAGCTGAGGGTTCATCCTGAGCAGGGGTGCCCTGGAAGGCAGTGCCCCTGGGAGGCTTTCTGGGGCCACTGGCCTCTCCATTACCTTTGCCTGGCTCCCCGATAAGGGAACCCACCAGAACACTGGCGGCCCGCCCTTCCACAGTGCACCCATAGCAGTGTTGCCACATAAGGATGTGCTGGAGGGAGGAGGGAGGGAAAGAGAGGGAGGAGGGAGATGAAGCCTCTCAGCTCCTCCTCCTCAGCCCCCCCCCCCCCCCGCCCCAACAAAGAGGGATCAGTGGAGTAAAATCAAACCAGCTTTAATACCAATATAGTCTCTCTTTTAAATACCTTGTTCCCCGGGACAGGGTGTAGGGGCAGGCTCTGGGCAAGAAGAATGGAAAGGAAATGTGGAACAAAATGGAATGGATCACCCAGGCCTGCCCCCACCCCACCCAGGGTCCTTGCCACAGGGCCCAGGTTGCCCATGGGGGTGGGGGAGGGGACAGCAGCTTCCTCTGGTCCAGGGCTCCCCTCCCCACCCAAAACTCTTCTCGCAAGTATTTCTGCCCTTCAGACCAGCAGGGCCTGGGCTCCTCTGATCTGGGAGGGAAGGCAGCTAAGGCCTGGGGACAGGGCGGGGGCGTGCCAGGGGGCAGGGTGGGGGTGTGCCACCCGCCAGACCCGCCCTCTCAGTAACTGCTCTGATGGCCGGTGAGGATGTAGAGGTTGCTGTGAGCCCCTGGGTTGTCGGTGGGAATGCTCTCAAGGATGATATCTCTGGAGGGGAGACAGAGGCGGAGGTGAGCAGGGCAGGGAAGGCCTGTGGGCAGGTCCGTATGGCCTCGGGGGCATCTGAAGGGGAGGCTGGGGCACCCCGTCCTACCTGTGGGCCCCGAGCACTCGGAAGATCCTTGTCTCGTCTGTGATCTCCTGAGTCACCTGGGAAGAAAAGGGGCACTGAGGCCACCCCAGCAGGCCCTCTCCTAAGAGGTGGGGACAAGCAGGTCGGGGGCGGCCAGGTTCCCGAGTTCCACTACCTCGTTGGTGTCCAGGCTTCGGCCTTGCATTCCGTGGCTCCAGAAGGCCAGGACGCTGTCCTGCAGACACACTAGGAGGGACCGGCGGCCATCAGCTCCGCACCTGCCCCGCACCTGCCCCGAGGGCGCTGGCTCCCCCAGCCACGCCCAGGGCCCACGTCTGGGCCCCAGAGGTCCTCACAGGCTGTGGTGGTCCTGGAGAGGGGCTGCGGCGCCTGCCTCCTGGACCCACCGCCAGCCCCAGGCCCCTGGGCCACACCGCGTGCTCCAGGCTGGGGACAGTTCCACCCCTGGCGCCATCTGGCTCACTCACCCACAGTCTCAATGGGGAAGTCGAAGGTCAGCACAGGCGCCAGTGTGGCCGTGGGCTCACCCAGCAGGTTGACAATCCTCACACAGCCTGCGCAGGGAGAGGGCTCGTGGGGGGAGGGACTGCGTGGTTCCCTTCTGGGGAGGCAGACCCCCACTCACAAGGCTTCCCTCACCTCCCCTAACTCCGTCCACTGCCCTCAGCCCTGACATCAGGGGTACTCACGGTCAAAGGAGACTAGGACTGTGTCCCTGTCCACTTGGATCACCTGCTGGGCTGTGCCCGGGAGCCCCTCTGCAGACAAGGGAGACATGGCCGGGCTGAGCCACCAGCCCCACTGCGGCCCCAAGAGGAAGACGTGGGGGACGGCTACAGCCAGCTGTCCCCACGACCACATTTCAAGGCCACAGCAGTCCCGCTGGGCTCCCGTGCCGCACAGCCGGGAAACTGAGGTTCAGAGTGGCAAGGTGGCCCGCGCGCAGGCGCACAGTGGTGGGAGGGCAGGGTTTTGGGAATCGAGAGAAGCACAATGTGTGACTCCCTCACTACGGGACCACAAATCTCTGAGCCTCAGTTTCCCCCTTTGTAACACAGGCCAGACGATGCCCGCCTTGCAGGGGCCGCTGTGAGGACTAAGAACGACAGCTTGTGAGACCCCTGCAGTGGTGGCCGGGTGTTCTTAGCTGCCGAGCCCTTTGGTCTAATGAAATCTCAGCTGAAGGGAGGCTGGTCTCCGTGGAGCCATTCGCTGCAGGGAACATGCAATCTCTCTCTCTGTCTGTCTGTGCCTGTCTCGTGTGAGCACACACACACACACACACACACACACACACATGCGCGTGCGCGGCCCTCCAGCTCACCAGGTGGTATGAGGACATCAGGCGTCAGACCAGCCTCCAGGGGCAGGACATGGAACAGGACCCGACATCCGGGCCCCTCGGGGCCCTCGGCCCCCACGCACACCTGTGGCAGCTCTTTCCCGTCCAGCACCAGCGGCTCCAGCATCCCCGCCGGGCTGGGCAAGGGGCTGGAGAAGTTCTGGGGGGCGGCAGGGGTGCTCAGGTCTCCATGTCCTCAGGCCCACCGCCACCTGCCCCCCTCCCCCGCCTGGCCCCGCCCACCCCACACCTTCAGCAGCAGGAACTTCTGCAGCGGCTCGTACCACTGCAGCAGGAGCAGGCTGGCGGGCAGGGCGGCCAGCAGGAAGGTGCTGCCCGTGTAGGGGTTCCGCACTGTGAGAGAGGCGGGCAGTGGGTCCCGGGCGGTGCCCGGGACCCCCAGCCCTCCCTGGCCCCACCTGGCCCAGCTCTTACCCACACGGCACTGCAGGCAGCCTTTGGTGTCTGGAATCTTGGTGGACAGGGCAAAGCGCCTGCGGGGGTTACAGCCAGGACATATGTCATGGTTGAGAGAGACTGAAGCTCAGAGAGGCAGAGCAACGTGCCCAGGTCACGCAGCTGTGCAAGCCGGTCTCAGGGCTCTAACACCCAGCCTGCAGTGTCTCTGTCCAGTCCATGGGGTCGGACCACAGAAGCCTTTAACTGTGCAACCTTGGGCAAGTCACTTAACCTCCCTCTGCCTCAACTTCCACATCTGTAGAATGGGGGGCGGGTAGCAGCGGCACCGACCTCAGAGGGCCACAGTAAGGATGAAATGAGTTAATACAGGGGCACCTGGGTGGCTCAGTCGGTTGAGCATCCGTCTCTTGATTTTGGCTCCCAGGGTTGTGGGATCGAGCCCTGCGTGAGGCTCCACGCTGAGCATGGAGCCCACTTGGGATTCATTCTCTCTCTCTCTCTCTCTCTCTCTCCCTCTGCCCCTCTCCCTCGATCACACTCTCTAATTAAAAAAATCAATGAGTTAATACAAGAGAAAGGTTTACCGCAGAGCCCGGCACACTGAGAGCACTCCCAAAGGGCTAGCTTTCACCGTTCTGAATGATTACTTTCCTGCCTATCTTCAGCCATCGAAAATCCTTTTCAGGGGGAAGGCAAGGGATAAATGAAGAATGAATGCAGAAACGAGAGCGTGGAGGGCTCGGGAGCCTATGAGGCCCCAGCCCCGCCAGGCTGCTGGAGCACTCACGGCCGTCCCTGCTCCCCACACGCCACGTGTCACATGTCACAGAAGGGCAGGGACGGGCCAGGAGATTAAGACTTGCAAGAAAACCGCAAACAAACGGCCTGCCCGCCCCCATCCCACCCCTGCCTCTGCTGAAGCTATACCACCTGGGACCAGAGAGGGGCCTGCCCAGGCGACATCCTTGCTCTGGTTACTGGCTGTCCCCCAAGCCCTCAGGGGACCTTCTGAGCGGCTGGGGAACAGGGCTACAAGTCCGCAGCCCTGCCACCTTCTCCCAGCGACCCCCCCCCCCCCCCCCCCCCCCCCCCGCCAGGCAGCCCATGCCCGTCTCTCACCATCCCTCCGCCCTCCCTCTTCTCTCTCCCTTGGCTCCTCCTAATCTCTTCCCGACCTGGCCTTTGGATGGGACAGGGGCAGATATTCTTGTATTTGTTTTTCCTCCAGACAACTCTGGCTCTCTGCTCTTTATGTTCGCAGTCACACTGTGACTCCGTAGTTTCCCAGACACACACCCAAAGCTGCCAGTGACTCGCCGGGGCGCTGACGGGCCTGTTTCCTGCAGGTCCTGGGACAAAGCAGAGGTTTGCTGGGGGTGGGGGGGTGGGGGGGGCTGAGCTCAGGAAGCCCCAGGGCCACAGGGCTCCAGATGCCGAATCAGCGAGCCCACTGCAGGAAGGGCCTGTGCCCCCGGCCTCCCGGCTGGAGTCGCCCCTGGCCTGACCTCACCCACTATGCCTACTGGCGCCCACCACCCACCTGGGCAGAGGAGTGTCTAAGCCCCCAGCCCAGACCCCTCCTGGAATTCAGCCTCACCGGGCCCACGGCCAGCGAAGGCCCCACGTACGCACCTTTAACTCCATGTGACAATACTGAGTCCTGGTCCCCCCCCACACCTGATGACAGCTCTATCCTTCCCGTCGCCCAGGCCAAATTCCCTGGACCCCTCCTTGACCCCTCTTTCTCTCCCATCCACCAACTGTCAGGAAATCCTGCTGATTCAACTTCCAAAATAAAAACCAGAATCCAGCTGCTCTTCCTCTCCTTCTCTGCTACCCTGGCCCGCGCCACCGCCACCTCTCACCTGATGATCACAATAAGCTCCTGACAGGCCTCCCCGCTTTCCCCTGAGCCCTTCAATCGATTCTCAACACAGCAGCTAGAGGGATCCCCTGAAAACCTCAGTCCATGTCACTCTTCTGCAGTGGCCCTCAGGTTGCTCTGAGTCAAAACCAAAAACCTCAGTGTGGCTCTGGGGCCCTCCCAGGTCATCTTCCCCACGCTCCCTCCATCTGGCTACACCAGTCTCCTTGCTGTTCCTCGAACAGGCCAGGCCTGTTCCTGCCCCAGGGCCTTTGCACTGGCCGTCCTCCGCCCCACTCCCGGCAACAAATCTTATTGTTGGTTGTTTGCCATCTGGTCTCCAGTGACAAGAAAGTCTGGGGAATAGGAGGGACCTTTGTTCACAGAGTCCCCCGGGCACATCCTAGGTACTCAGAAGATACTCGCTGAATGACTAAACAAGGGACTCTGTCTCGGACATCCCCCTGGACACCTCACAAGACACGACACGATGTGCTCCCCTGAGGTCTCCCGGTCCCTCCTTCTCCCTCCTGCCCCCTCCAGCCAGGCCCCAAATCCTGTCAGCCCCACTTTCTGAATAGGGTTCAAGTCTGTCCACCCCATAGCCTGACCCCCACTGCCTCAGGTCGCTACACAGACCTCCTTTCCGAGTGCCCTCTCGCCAGCCGCCCCCGTCAGCACAGCCAGCAGAGACGCCTCTAGTCTTGGCGGGTCTGACGAGCCCCTCTCTCTTGACCCCCAGCTCTAGGAGACAGCATGTGACCCCGGCCTGCCCCCCCCACCCTGAGCTCCTCATCCCCTGGCCACAGAGACAGGCTCTGAAGTGGGCACGAACCTCTTTCGCTAGACGAAAGAGAATTGGCCCCCGGACTTTGTGGGAATTACTTAGAAGCAGAAGTTCTAGAACCGCACGGCTGTTAGCTAATGGCACGCTGGCCTGGGACTGTGTGCGCATCCATCAGCGGACAAGAACGCCTACCTGAGAATGGAGGTGACAGAGGACAGCAGAGCCAAGAGAGGCAGGCAGGTTCCTGGTAAGGCCGTTTAAGCCTGGATCCAGCTGGGCCTGAAGCTAACCCTATTCCTGAACTTTCAGTTACATGAGCCATTAACTGCCCTCCCGTGCTCAAGTCAGCGAGCTGCACTGTCTACTGCGGGAAGAGTCCTGACTGGCATTCAGAGGGCTCCTTCTAAAAGGCTCACGGTGGGGGCACCTGGGTGGCTCAGTCGGTTGTGCGCCCGACTTCAGCTCAGGTCATGATCTCACGGTTTGTGAGTTCGAGCCCCGCCTCAGGCTCACTGCCGTCAGCCTGTCAGCGTGGAGCTTGCTTCAGGCCCTCTGTCCCCCTCTCTCTGCCCCTCCCCCACTTGCACCGTCCCCCACAGAAGCATAAAGACAAATAAATAAAAATTTAAAATGCTCATGGTGCCATCGCCTGTGGAACAAAACCCAGATCTTGGGCCTGGCCTCAAAAGCGGGGCTCCGTCACCTGCCGAGCTTTCCCTCTGGCTGCTCCCCCAGGTCACCCGCGTGCTTTCACACATGCTCTTCCCCTCCATGGAAGGCGGCTCCCTGATTCATCTGCCTGGAAACCCACTGTGCACTCTCCACCTCCAGGCCCTCATGTGGCGGGCCCTCAGAAGAGGCCTCTGTGCGCCACTCCCCCTCTGGTTCACTGCGGTGCCATTTGATTTGTCGTCTCCAAGCCCTGCCTAGGATCAGGCACACAAGTAGCCCACACCCTAACAGCACCCCAACAACACAGCTGCCTCGCTATGGTCTCCTTGCTTCCCAATGGGCCCAGGGCGGGGAGGGGAAGCCCAGGAGAGGGGTATCAATGGCACTGGGCACTGATGGATCAGGAAACTGGGCTCAGAGAGGCAAAGTGACGCATCTGAGGTCATGGGTCATATTCAACCCTGTCTCTGCCCCTCTGCCTCCCGCGCTTCCCTTCCCACCCCACGGCACGCCCCACCCCCTTGGGGTCCCAACCTGGGGATGATGCGCTGTGTGAGGCGGTTGGTGGGGATGGAGAGGGGAACCTGTTGCTGAAGTCGTCGTTGCTCAAACAGGCCTGGGAGGTCATGGGCCCAGATGTGCGTGGATTTCCCTGCAGGGAGGGAGAGAGGGGCTCAGAGAGAGGTGGAGGGGAGGGGGCAGGCCCGGGGCCCCGCCCCTGCCCCGCCCCATACCTGAGAGTGACAGCAGCACGTTGTTCACACAGTAGAGCCAGGTGCAGCGGTGAGAGATGAGCTAGGGGTGGACAGACGGCCGGGGGGTCAGCTCCCCCAGCCCCCCGAGGCCCTCTCCCCCCGAAGCCAGCCAGGCCTCACCTTCTCCAGCGTGTCCTCATGCAGTTCATGCAGGTTGAGGGTGTAGACGCCTTCTTCCGCCCCCACCACCAGAAACTGGTCTGCATGTTCAGGTACAGGGTCAGAGGTCAATCGTGCCCCCCTGGTCCCAAGCTGGGGGTTCCCAGGCTCCTGCTTCCTCCCTGCCCCGGCCTACCCCGGGTGACAGGGTGAATCCAGGTGACGGCAGCGTGGATCCTCAGGGGGCAGCCATTGAAGACTTTGGAGAAGCAGGCACCCATCTGGGGAGAAGGCAAGAGGCTGGTTAAGAAGACGTGGGGGGGGGCGGGGAGTGGAGGGCAGCGGGCAGGGGGGCTCCCGGGTGGCAGGGCTGCGGACACTTACATGCACCTTGGGAGTGGGGGGGAGCCCGTGGCAGGATGATCTCTGGAAGGGGGGGGAAGAAGTCAGGGCCAACGTGACACCCCCAGCCTCCCAGCCTCCCAGCCCCTCCGTAGCACCCCCTCACCTCAGGATCCTCCCTGTGCTTCATGGTGGCCCAGGCAGTGGGGAGCAGTGGGGGGCTGTTAGGGCCTGGGACAGGAGGGGGTGGGGCTCCTGCGGGCACAGAGTGGCCGTGAATTCTAGCTCTAGCCCCGCCCTGAGCCTGCCTCCAGGTCCCCCAACCCTGGACTCACCCAGGGGGCTGGACAGAAGGTCCTCGGCTGGAGGCTCGGTGGCAGATGGCCCCAAGAATGGGGCCCGCTTGATGGTCCCCATAGCATCGTCTGGGGAGTCCAGCTCCTGGCAGGAGAGTCAGGGGGCCGAGCCTGGCTGTTGGCGGGTCACCCGTAACCCAGCCCCGTCCCAACCGCACCCTCTCCAGCCCTTCCCCCACCCCACACCTGGAGTTCTGAGGCTGGCCGGATGGTCAGGCTCCTGTGGGGGACAAACCAGAGGGACATGAGGTGTGAGATGTGACCAGGCCCCAGGTCCAGCTGCCGCCCCCCCCATGGCCCTTCGGGCCCAGCCCCTCACCTTTCCTCCAGGGCCTCCTCTACCGACTGTAGCAGGCTCCTAGGCAGGACGCGATGAGGTCAGAGGTCAGCCTTTTCTGCTGCCCCCACCCCTCCCCTATAGCCTCCCTCTCCCTCACTCACCCACTCAGCTCCTCCTTTCCCAGCAGCGTCCACTCCTCTTCCCACTGCAGGGAAACCGAGTCAGAAAGACCAAAAGAGAGTCAGAGACAAAAAAAGCAACGTGAGAGGGTGACTGAGAGACTGCACGCAGGACAGGACGCACAGACGGAAGATGACACGGTAACAGGCAAGACAACTGTGAGCGAGAGGGACGACAGGCAAAGAAACTATGCAAGAGAGCAAACAGCCCAAGAAGGGGACAGAGAGCAGCCAGGGCAAGAGGTAGAGTGGGACAACCAGGCTCGGGAGCGGGCCACGGGTCTGTGATAGGCCCACGTGCTAGAGAGGCGTGGTCCCAGTGCCCAGGAAGAAGTGTGTGCCCACACCCTTCCCTGCTCTTCTGCCCCCCGCCCCCCCCCCCCCGCCTTTGCTGTCCTGAGTGGGACAAGCCTCCTCGCACAGTGCTTTCCCCGGCCAGGCTGCTGCTGCTGCCTCAAGAGTTTGAGACACACACCCCTGCACACCGCCCCCCCCCCCACATACACCGTCAGACCCTCACCGGCTCGTTCAGTGGGTCCGTTTCCTTCCTGCGTGGGGCGCCAAATTTCACCTGGTGAACTGGGGGACCCCAGGGTACCCACGTTAGGAAGGTGGGCTCCCGACTGACCCCAACACTCACACCAAATGCCCATACACAGCCCCCACCAAATCCATATGCACACAGACTCCCACACAGCCATCCGCCAGATGTGTACACAGCCCCTCAGCAGATCTACACACCTAGCTCCCCACCGAATCCAAATACACAGGCCCCCACTGAATCCACATACACGGCCCTCTCACCAATCCAAACCCCCCCATCAAGTCCACACACCCCTTACCAAATCCACACACACAGCCCACCGCCACCAAGTTGATACACACGGGCCCCCACAAAATCCATGAGCACAGCCCCCCCCCACTGAATCCACACATACAGCCCCCACCAATTCCATATACTACAAGCCCCCCCATCCATTCGCACAGCTCCCCACCAAATCCATGCACAGACCCTCACCAAATTCACACACACAGCCCCCCGCAAATCCACACACCTTAGCCCCCCCAAATCCACACACAAGACCCCCCAATCCAAACACCAGTGCCACCCAATCCACACACAGCCTCCCCAACAAATCTACACGCAGCTCCCCACCAAATTCCCAATACAGCCCCCACTGATCCCACATACCACAGGCCCCCCAAATCCATACACTGTAGGCCCCCCCACAAAATCCACACACAAGCCCCCAAATCCAGACACCCATCCCACCCAAATCCACACATACAGCCTCCCCTCAAATCCACCCTCGGCGCCCCATCAAGTACCTCCCCCCCCCAAATCCACACACTAAATCCACAGACCCAGCCCGCCCAGCAGACTCACACTGGATCTCGGAGGGGGTTCTCTCGGCCGGGCCGTGCTGACCCCGCGAGTGAATGGTGTCTGGAAACATGTCGTAAGTCTAAGAGAGAAGACAAACCGCAGACACACACCCAGCACTCGCCTCCCGCCGGGTGTCTCTGGAAACACTCTGTGCGCGAGGATGCGTCGGGCTTTCACAACCCTCTGAGATGATCGTGAGATTACACAGCACCGTCGTTTCAACGACGAGAAAACCAACACAGAGAGGCAAGCGGCTGGCCGAGGATCACCCAGAAACCAGAAGGTGGCTAAGCTGGGGTCAGCTCAGCCTGAACCAAGGGCAGGAATTTATCAGGCGTTGGGGGGGCGGTACCGGGGACAAGACGGGCCCAGGGAAGACTTCTACTGGGCGGACTTGCCTGGAGGAAAGTTCTCAGGGCGGGCAACATTGAAGTTAAAGGGACCTGACTCATACCGCCTCCGTGCTCCTTACCACCCAGCCGGCCGGGCCAAGATCTATTCCCCAGCTCTCCTCACTCACCTCTAGTTCACAGTCCTCTGGGGAAGGGGTGCTCAGGTGGGGGTCATTGGCTTTGTCCAGCAGCTGTGTGAGGAGAGCCCGAGGGAGCTGCTGGGTTGTGAATGGGTGCTGGAAGACCGAGGGGGACACGGTTGGTTCCAGGCCTCAAGGGCCCTGCTTTCAAGCATCCAGGCTCCTGCCCTGCCCTTGCCTCCCACCTGCAGAAGCTTCTCTGCTGTTGGCCTCTTCTTGGGGTTCTTGGTCAAGGCTAGCTTGAGGAAGTGGTGGAAATTCTGGGTCCTGGTGGGCACAAGAGAACCCCCCCCGGCCCCCAGACCCAGGTTAGCCCTCACGTGGCGCATCCCGCCAGCTGCCCCCTGCCACCACTCCAGGAAGGAGCCAGCCTGAGGCCAAGGGCAGCTGCCCAAGCAATGTTGCCGTCACGACATGGCAGCCCTTCCTCCCCACCTGCGCCGGGTCTCCTGACCCAGAGACAGGGCTCAAGCCCCTCCCGCAGGTGGCCCGCAAAGGCTGAAGGGGCAGGGCTGGGAGCTGGCGGAAGGCTCTCCACCCCCATGGCAACTGCTGGAAAGGAGGCCCCAGCGGGGCATGCGGGCCCTCACCAGTGAGTCTTGTCTCTCAGCCGGGGCGGCTGGAAGCTACTCTTCGACATGAGCATCAAGGCCCTGTGGAGAGCACGAGGTCAGGGGACAAGGTCATCAGGGCCCTCGGGGTCGGGCAAGGGGCAAGTAAGTGTTGGGCGGACCTCATGGGGTGCAGATGGAAGAGAGGGGGCTGCAGCTCGCCCAGCTCAATGGCGGTGATGCCCAGGGCCCAGACGTCACAGAGCTCGTTGTAGCCTCCTTTGCGTTCCACGGCGGCCACCTCTGGGGCCATCCTAGAGGCGGGGTCACAGATGGGATGGCCAGGTGCCCCCCCTGCGGCCCCCAGCCCCCTCAGCCCAAGGCACAGCCTCACCAGTAAGGAGTCCCAATGAAAGATCTCCTCTTAGCCACAGACGCCGTCAGCTCGCCTGCCACCCCAAAGTCGGCTGCGGGGAGAGAGAGCTACTCCCATCCGCCCTCCGGCTACCACTCCCCACCCACTTCCAGGGCTCAGGCTTGGAATGCACCTGAAGGGTTCAGAGAGCAGGCGGCCCAAGTTCAGCCACAACCACCCCAGGTCCAAGGCAAGGCCAGGTCCCCCCTCCGGGAGGGGTCAACCACCTTCTATCGCTGACCAAGCGCATAGTCCCAGGTTAGATTCCAGACAGACCCAACCGCCTCCAACTACTAGCAGGGAAGGAGGGCTTGTCCGCTTTCTCAACGGGGAAACTGAGGGTTCAGTGGTACAGTGACTTGCTCGAGGACACCCAGCACCTGAACGCAGACTCTAAGCTCCCCCAGGACCCTCACCCTGATTTTTTCCCCGGGGTACTGACCCAGCTTGACATCTCCCTGGAGGGTGAGGAGAAGATTGGCTCCCTGTGGGAATGGAGGAGAGAGAATCCCGTCTGGTGCCCCCAAGAGCCTTCTCCTGCCTCCCACGATGCCCTGGGCCAGACCCCTACCTTGATGTCTCTGTGGATCTTCCCCTGAGAGTGTAAGTGGTGTAGCCCCTGGGGACAAAGAGGAGCTCCTGAGAGCGGCCACCCAGCACTATCCCACCTCTTCTGAACCCCCTCTCGGGGCTGGGGCCCCCCACCCAAGCAGCTTCCTCCTCCCCTCTCCCCAAACAGGAAGTGACTGAGCCAAGAGGGAAATGTGCTGCTTCCGGCAACAGGGCTGGGGCCCCTTTCCCCCCAGGACCCACAGCCCCCCAGGCCAGCCCTGCCCTGAGGCACTCCACCCACCCCACCCCCAACACACACACACACACGCACACACGCACACACACACGCACACATTCACGCGCACACGCCAGCCAGGCTCCTTGCCCACAACTCCTGGGGACTTAAAAGAGTGTGAACAGCCTCATGGGCCCAGCTACCTTCAGCGCCTCCCGGCACACATAGGCAATCTGCCGTTCCTCCAGGGGCCCGGTGGCTGAAATGGAAGGAGTGAAGGCTGGCATGGAGGTCTGGAGGATATGCTGACCTTCCCAGGCCACCCTGCGTGGGGGAAGCGGCAGGCACTGCTGGGTGAAAGAGGTGTTGGCCTGGTCCCCTCCCTGCACAGTCTGGGATACGGAGCCCAGAGAAGGACACCATTTCTGTCAAGGTCACACAGCCAGTTAGGAGAGAGGAAGGGCCTAGGCCCAGAACCCCAGCTCTTCTCTCCTGCCCCATGTCGGGGAAGAGGGGGTTGGGGAACGGCTGTGGCCCTCTGGGGCCTGGAGGCCTGGCCCTCACCGTGGTATATCTCCTGCAAGGACCCCCCTCCGCAGAACTCCATGCAGATCCACAAGCGGTCATTCCTGCGAGGGCACAGAACTGGGGTGGGCACGTGGCAGAGCCACATGGGGGCTGCCTAGGGCTGAGCAAAGGGTAAAGCAGCCTCACCTGAGGTAGCTGCCAATGTAGGCCACCACATTGGGGTGACGGCACTCACGTAGGATGGTGATTTCCTGCTGGAGGGAGCTGATGTCGTCCCCTGGGGAGCACAGGGCATGATGGGGGGAGGGCGCATAGGGGTTGCTCTAACTCAGTGCCCTCATCTGCAAAATGGGCACATCCGGGCCAGACAAATCCCAAACGACAGCACCTCCTGGGGCCTGTTTCTCAGGGGGTCAACTCTCGGGGCCACCCGGCGCTCTGCCCTCCCACCAGCGCAGAGGCCCTGCCTCCAGGCCCTCACCTGGGTCTAGCTTGACTATCTTGACCGCGGCCAGTTCGGACGTGACCGTGTCTCGGGCCTGCAGGGGCAGAGGAGGTGAAGCGGGATGAGGAGGGGGGCGGGGCTGGGGGCTGGATCCCGCGGTAAGGCGCAGAGTCTGCACCCTCGTCGCCGCTCTCCCGCCCGTCCGGCCGCCCGGCGCACCTTGTAGACGTCGCCATAGGTCCCGGCCCCCACGCGCTGCAGCAGCTCGAAGCGGTCCCGCGGATCCTGCAGCGACACGTCCCGCAGCAGCGCCATTGCCCGGCGCCGGGCGGGCCGGCGGGCGGGCGGTCGTGAGCTGCGGAGCCGCGGAGCCGGCGCGGGGCGGTGCGGGGCGGGGTGGGGCGGGGCAGGACCGCCGGGGCGGGCGCCGGTGGCTCCGAGGCCGCGGAGGCGGGGCCGGGGCCCGGGGCGGGGCCAGAGGGGGATGCCCCTCCGCCCGGCCGGGAGGCGGCGCCCGCGGGACAGGCCCTCCGCGGCGAGGGGAAGTCCCGAGGCTGGGCGGAGCCAACCAGCCGTGGACCTCAGGCCAGCGGCATCCTCCCTCCCCGCCCCCCCCGCCCTGCTCCCCAGCGCCCTACAGGTGGGGACCCCGAAGGCCAGAAGGCCGTGGGGGAGAGGGGGCTCTCCTCTCTCGTCCCACCCGCCCCGCCCGCCATTCCCCAGATGAAACACGAACGTGTACTTTTTTTTTTTTTTTACAAAATGTATTCATCTTCCTTGAAACTGAAAAATAAATCTATGTACAAAACAGGAAGAGATCAGGCTCCCCTCACCCACTGGCAAACCCCTGCAGATTTCCTCCGGAGTCCCCGGAGACAGGCCGGACCTCGGGGAGGTTCCCAGAGGGTCAGAGAGAGGTCCGCTCTGATCTGCGGCCAGTTTGGTCAGGAAGGGGGCGGGGCTCAGGATTCACAGGCCGGAGGCTGCCTTTCGCGTCCCAGACTCGCAGGACAGTGGAGAAGAGGCTAGAATTTCCAAACTCTGAAAGTTTCTTAAGTCTTTTGGGGTAGGGGGCAGTTGGGGTTCCCAAGGGATGGAATTCTGAAGTGCAGAAATGTACTACTAGGGACCCAGGTTCCCGGGCGGGAGGCGGGTCCTGTGCTTCTAGGGGGTGGGGCCGGGAGCAACCCGGGTCAGGCCCAAGTTAGAGCCTTGGTTCTGAGGTGGGGGCCTGTTTCCAGTGCTTGGACCTTTAAAGATTAACGATGGAGCTCAAAGTGAGGTTCCCATTGGCCGGCTGGGATTCTGGGCGGTGGGATCTATATTCGAATGAGGGGCAGAGCTCTGGAGTGGCCTGTCCTCAGGGACTTGCAGCCTGGGTCCTGGGTTGGGGTGGGGCTCGGAGGACCTGGTTAGGCCCCCTCAATCGGCAGGTGGAGCCCCGGAGCGAGGGCGGGTAGGGAAGTTGGGGGGGGTGCCTGGAGTGGCGCCCCCTCCCTCCACCGCAAGGGCCGACAGGGAGTCTGGGGTACTTCACAGGCCCTTGCGCTGGCGCTTGAGGAAGGAAAGCGTGTAGTCGCTAGGTGTAGACACCTTCTGCTTCTTCATCTGCACCTGTGACTGCGCGGTGAGCTGCAGCTTGATGGCGCTCGAGTTGATCTTGGTGGCCACCAGGAGCTCCTTCATGCCCTTCATCTTCTCGCTCTGGAAAGTGAGCACCGGACCCTCCGGTGGTGGCGACGCTGCGGGCGCCGGCGCCGTGCCGCCTCCTTCCGGGCCGCGGGCAGTGCCCGGGCCTGTCCCCGGGGGTTTCCGCGGGGGTCCTGACGTCGCCCCCTGGCCAGGGCCCGGGCCCTTGTCCAGCGCCGGCTTCTTGGGCGGCGGCGGCTCCTCTGGCTTGGACTCACGCCGTGGGCCTCGCCGCCGGCCTTCCCGGGCTTCCTCGCCCCACAGCTCTTCCGCCTCGGCAGCCTCGGCCTCCCGGCTCACTATGCGCACTTTCTGCCGCACCTGGGCCGGGAGGAAACGTGGAGAGGACGCTGCAGGCCACTGTCCAGAACCCCCAGGGCCGGCCTCGGCCAGTGCGACACCTGGCCTCAGTCTCACCCGCAGCCCCTCTTCAGGACCTCAAAGGGTCTGACTCGGTAGCTGCCGTCACCACCTGACCTCTCCCCCAGCGACCCACGCAGCTGCCCCTCACCTGCCCCTCAAATCGGCCTAGGGACTGCACAAGGAAGGTGGCCCAGCCAACGTGCAGCACAGGCGTGGGGCTGCCCTCTTCCCACTTGCAGATGCCATCATAGAACCGCAGCAGGTGGGCGAAGCACTCTGGGTCCTGGAGGGCAGAACTCTGGCTCTGGGCACCCTGGGCAAGGGGAAAGTGGGGCACAGGTTAGACCCCCTTAATCACCCTGTAGGTCAGGGCCCCTCATTAGGCAAAGAGGCCTGCCTTCAGAAGAAGTGAGCATCGGGGAAAAGAATTCTTAGAACCTCTTTCCTTTTATAAAACCAGTCCCTAGCCAGGGCATGGGGGAAGGGAGAAACCATCCCTTCCCTACATCCCACCACCTCGATTGAATGAGGGGCACTGGCCGTGAAAGCTTCTTCCACCTCATTTACCTGAAGCTTCAGGGGTGGTACCCCCTAAATTACCCTCAGTTCCCTCAAGCCCAGGCCCAGGACCTCAGCTACCGCAGAAAAGAATGTAGCTCCCCACGCTGGGCCTCCTTCCCCCACGGGCCCCAGTCCTCTGCGGCAGTCCCTGGGGCCTGTGACGGGCAGCCCTGCTCAGGTGGCAAAGGGGACACAGGCCGGAGCTCCAGCCCTTCACCTGGGTCTGCTCCCCTGGTCGCTCCTCGCCAGCCTCCAGCAGGCTGGCTGCCTCCTTCAGCAGGTTGGGGATGACATCATTGGCTACTTCAAAGAACTCCTTGTAGATCTCCTCGTCCTCACGGCAGTAGTTGTAGCTGTGAGAGCAGGAGGGCACTGTGGGGTCTTGGTCATGGTGGGGACCCCCAGGGACCTGGTGAGAGGTTGGGGTCTTCACTTGGAAGTGATGGCATCTGTATCAGCCCAGGGCAAGAGTGGGGGGGGGGGGGCATGGGATGGGCAGGGGTGCAGGTTCTATTACCGGATGTCAGTGGTTGGAAATCACAGGGGCACAGGGGAGGCAGCCAAAGGTGGGAGGGGCTCATCAGAGGTCCCAGCCTGCTGGGTGATGGTGGCCTTGGCTGCCTAGGGACTGGATGGAAAGGGGATAGGGCTTGGGACCCAGGCGGACTGGAAAGTAGGAGGAAGGGGAAGAAAGGGCGGGCTGAGGCCCTAGCTGGGGGAGCCTCACTCCTGGATGACAGTGGCCGTGTCAGCCCAGGCCTGCAGGGCCTCGCGCACGTTGCGGTTGCGACAGTGGTAGCCAGCCAGGTACATGTAGGGGTAGATGTGCTCGTCCCGGTAGTAGGTCTTGGCTGAGGCGATGCCCTGAGGATAGAGCAGAGGGACCTCAGAGAGGCGGCCCCACTTGCCCCTTGTGGCACAAACCCCTCTGGGTCCCACCCATGAGGAACAAGAGGAAGATCCCAGAGAGTCCCACCTCTGATCTCACCCGCTTCTGTGCTCTCTACCAGGTGCTCCTCCCTGCAGGACTGCCTGCTGGGGCCTGGGCCACACTGCGGGGGGGCAGGGAGGCCCAGAGAACTAGGCCCAGGAAAAGGGAGGGGCCCAGCCTCCAAGCTCAGGGCCCATCCATTTCCCCAGGTTTCCCACACACTCCTACACAAACACCAAAGCCTCCTGAGCCCCACCCCACAGAATTAACACAGCCTCCTCAGTGCTCCCACCACATCTGACCTCTGTAATACTCTAGGACAATGAGAGGCAGCAGAAAAAGCAAGGCTTAAGGGACAAATTCAGGCCCTGTCACCCCCAGGCCGGGAACACAGAACACCCCTCAGACAGCCCTGACAACACCGAATAGGTACGTGATAAACGCAAAATGGGAAGTGGATGGGTGATAGCCCCCAAAACACATAAAGTTCCTCTCTCCTCACCTGCCCCCTCCCAGTTCCCAGGCAAAAGGGGACCCCAGCCACAGTTGGGCTTCCCTTCTGTACCCTCCTGAGATGTCCCCACCTTGTGGTAGAGGGTGAGTGGGTCTGGCCGGCCAGGGGTGGGCTCCAGTTCCTCCAGATCTGCCAGGTTCCCCAGAGCCATGGGGTACCTGGGAAAGCGTCATGAGTCCAGGCTGCCACCCAGCCCCCTGGGGCCCAGCCTGGCCACTTCCCCCTACTGACCTTTCCAGATGTCCCAAGTCATAGAGCAGCCAGAGCAGCTTCTAAGGGCCGAAGAAGAGAGGCATGAGCCGGTGGGGAGGGGGGAGGCGAGGAGGGCCTCAGTCTACCAGGCAGGTGTGAGGTCCAGCAGGGACCTCCCACCAGGTGGGAACCAGCCCCTTAGTGGAGTCCAAACCCTTTCATGACTCAGTTCTCCTCTCCCAAGAGCCCTGGGGAGGGTCTGGCCAGGAATTACCAACCCATGTGACCAAAGGGGGAGCTGGAGCTCAGGAAGGGAAAGCACCCCAAGGCCCCGCGGGCACCCCTCACCTGCTGCAGCTGCAGCAATTCCAGGGAGTCGGTGTGCAGGTCGATGGAAGGGTTGATGGCACACACCATAAATGCCACCTCCATCTTGCGGTCACAGCGCATGTACGATCCTTTCAGGTACAGCCAGCTCTTAGGAGAGGACAAGGCCAGGTGTCTCATGATGGCCCACTGCTGCCTACTCCCGGGAATGACAGCCAGAAATGGGGTGCTCCCCTTCGTGGCATATGCAGGTGGTGACAGGGAGAGGGCAGTACGGCCCAGGAAAGCAGGGCCTTCTGGGTGGCTTGGGCTAGGAGAGCGTGAAGGGGAGGGGGTGGGGGCAGTACCCGCTCGGCCACACCCGCGTTGACCGTCTGGCCCCTGCGATCCTCGTTGCCCTTGCCGTGCCAAGTGACTTCCGCTGTCTGTTCTCCATTGGGCCCAAACACGACCCAGGCGTGGTCCTCAGACAGGGCGAGGTGGACATCCCGCAGACCCAGAGCCTGGCAGGCCCCCACCACAGCAAAGGCCACACCAGAACTGTCCAGTTTTGTGCCTGTGGAAGGGGAAGTCATGAAAGAGGGTCCTCTGACCTCTGACCCGGGCCGAAGGGGCCAGGCAGCGACACACCGTGCTCTCTCCCACCCTCACCTCCAAGCCTGCGCACAAACCTTAGATGCTTCCGCCCAGCAATTCTCACTCCCTTTCCTCCTATTAGTTTGAAGCCTTCCCCTCCCCTCCTTATGTCCCCCCAGCAAAAGACCTTCTTGGCTTTCACATAGCTCCACCCAGCCTTTGACCCCGTCCCTTCTCTTTCTCTGCAACCATTATTATAATTCAAGGATTTCCTTGTTTTATTGTCTATTGGGTTCCAACAGGGACGGCAAAAACAGGACCCTCTGGCCAATGTTCTTTTTCACACACCCGCTGGTGGAGATTCCTAACTTATCTCTATATCCTTCCTGCTTGGCTCAAAAGCAGCCTCAGATCTCGCTTCTCAACACGGCACTCCAGGACCTGACTGCCGGTCAGCTGGGCTTGGGGCAAAGAAGCAAGTTCTTCTTTGCATGCCCCGAGTCTTAAGCTTCTTGGGTTGAAGCCCTTCCCTCATCTGTTCACTTTCATTTCAGCGTCTCAACGTAGCCAGATTTAGGCTCCTCACTCTCCAAATCGGCTGCTGCCCTTTGTGCCTCATACTAGGCCGAGGGACTCCTGTAGGGGCTCAATGGCAGGGCTGGGGATGCTGAGGCAGCAGAGGATGGGTTAATGGATGGAGAGCCAAGGGACTGGGGTCCAGTCCCAGCCCTGCCATTCTGCGGCACATCGCTTCCCTTCTCGGGGCCTCAGTTTCCCTAGCTGCAGCACAGAGGGTACTAACACTTGCCCCACCTCACAAGGCTTACAGGTCTTAAAGGGCTCTGCAAACCATACAGCGTTGTGAGGAGGTGGGCTAAGGTTCCCGGCTGAGACGGGATTCTCGCCCTTTGCCACCTGTCGGGCTCCGACCTGTGATGAAGCTGAAGAGGGATTGAATGTGGGCTCGATCCTTGAAGTAGGAGCGGCTGAGGCTGTTCCAGATGACATCGGACACCTTCTTCACCAGTTCTCGGCTGGAGACACCCCCCTCTCGCGGGTAGAGAGACAGGTCAACCGCGCCGCGGATCTGGGCGGTGAAGCGGGCGTACAGCGCGGCGATGATGGACAGGTCGGCCACGGGAAAGTAGGTAAGGCCGCCAGGAGGGTCGGGCGCGGGGCTGGGCTGGAAGGTGAGCTCGGGCACATTGGTGGGGATGACGCGGTTGACAGCTAGGAAATGCTCGACGAAGCCCAGTACCAAGGAGAGGAGCACCAGGTCCGGTTCCTCCCGGCCCAGCTCGGCGGCGAACAGGCGCACCACGTCGTCGATGGAGCGCAGCGGGAATAGCGTCTTCTGGGCGGCCTTCAGCCCCATGGCGGCGGGCCTCGGCCTACGGGAGAGCCGAAGGAGGGAGGGTCGGGCGGCCACGACCGGGGAACCCCCTCCCAGGCTTGGCTACGGTTCTACACCCCCATCTCCTACATTCTCTTACTTCCCCGCCCCCCCCGGCCCTCCGCTCATTTGTTCCCCCTCTTCCGTCGGAGACCCCTCAGCTGAGGCTGTAAGGGCCTCCTGGTCCCCCACAACCCCTGGAGCCGCGGCCCCGATGGGTGTGCGCCCCCTAAGACCCCGCTGAGCACCTTCCACGGCCGTCCCGCCCCCTCTCTACGACCGTAGCCCCGGGCACCTAGAGTCCGTCCGGAAGGCGCCCCTAGGCCAAGCCCCCCAAATCCCAAGGAGAGTCCTGGCCTGGGTCCCCCGCGCCCACCTCCGCGCTTACATCCCACACAAGGCACCACTGCGCCCGCCGCCCGGAGCCTGCTGGGAAATGGAGTTCCGCCCTTTGCGCCGCACGGCCTGCCGGGAAGTGGAGTCCCGGGCGCTCTCCTGTTCCTGCCGCGCCTTGAAATGGTGGCCGAGCCAGAGAGTCCGCAGTGGCTTCTGGGAGTGGTAGTCACGCCGCTCTGGGCTCCCCGGAGGTAGGTGAGGAGTGGAAGCTGCACCACCTTCCTGAGATCCTCGGGGATTGGTCACGCCATCTCACGCCCTCCAGGTAGGCCGTCGAGCCGCGGTACATTCTGGGAGATGTAGTCCGGGGAGTGACGCGGCATTCCTCAGGCGGTGGCGGCGCTTAGGTGGTCACGTGTCCTCAAGATGTGACGAAAACCGGTACTTTGAAACACTGCCAGATTACTGTGTGTTGAGCCACTTTAATTGGATATATATCAGGATCCATTAACACGAAAATGTGTCTACTCAATGTCTAGCAATTCTTCCCTAGTTCTGCTCTTGAGAAAATGTAACGTATGCAAAGAGGACATCTAAAGAACCGTTATAGTTATTTGCAATAGGGTCAAGGAAGAGTGGAGTAACTGTATGCATCCTAAAATACATCTTCAGAGCGTATTGTTGAGGCAAAATTCAGAACAACACAGCTGATAAGATAGTGCTTGTATTAAGAACATGTTAAAACTTCAGAACAGTACTAAATACTCTCTACAGAGTCATCCGTGAATCTTCCTTATTCATTCAACAGAGTTTTGGTGGCTGTGGGCCAGGCACTCAGTCCTAGGCACCCGGTATGTAGCAGTGAGTAAAACAGATCAAATTCCTGCCCTACTTCACCTCTGGGGGTATTCCCCCCCGCCCCCAATCCATAAATTTAGTCTAATCATGAGAAAACATCTGGCAAACCCAGACTAAGGGACATTCTGCAGAATACCTGACCAGTACTCCTCAAAAGTTTCAAGGTCATAAAAGACAAGGAAAGACTGAGATTGTTGGAGATTAGAAGAGAGTCAGGAGACAGGATGAATAAATGCAATGTGGTGTTCTGGGCTGAGTCCTGGGACAGAGAAAGGACATTAGTGGAAAAACTGGGCAATCGTGTGGCTGATCTTCCTGGTTTGCCCAGGACTGAGGGCACTTCAGGAGTATGGGACTTTTAGTTTATTGTTTAGTTTTGTTTTAATATTTATTTATTTTTGAGAGAGAGAGACAGAGCGCAAGCAAGGGAGGGAAGGCAGAGAAAGAGAGAGAGGGGGAGACACAGAATCTGAAAGAGGCTCCAAGCTCTGCACTGTCAGCACACAGCCCAACGCAGGGCTCAAACTCACAAACCAGGAGATCATGACCTGATCAGAAGTTGGATGCTTAACTGACTGAGCCACCCAGGCGCCCCTGGGACTTTTAGTTTTAAAACCAAACCAGTCATGGGGGGTGGGGGGGACTCAGTCAGTTAAGCGTCTGACTATTGATTTCAGCTCAGGTCATGATCTCACAGTTCATGGGATCTAACTCTGAGCTGACAGTGAGGAACCTGCTTGGGAGTCTCTCTCTCCTCCCTTTTTCTCTGCCCCTCCCCCTCAAATAAATAAACATTAAAAAAAAAAAAAACACGGCACCTGGAAACCCTACTTGTGAATTTTAAATAAAGTCTTTAACTTCATTCATGGTTTTTATCAGTTGGATTTGATCAGTGTGTGATGATTATGTTAGGCGGAGCTGGGTGAAGAGTAGATGGGGAAGGGATCACCACTGACTGAGTTCTGGGGTACTTCGTCATAGAGAGATTAGGAGACCAGGAGGAACGAGCAGAGGAGATTGGCCAGAGAGACAGGAAGAAACCCAGACGAGCCTCTGTGCAGAAGACCGTTCACCAAAGCAAAGGTAGGACTGACAGTGTCAGACACCGTTCATAAGTCAGCAAGCTGAGCGCGGATTTGGCTCTGCGGGAACTCCTGACGGCCGCATGAAGAGCCGTTTGGGGAGCAGAAGCCTGAAGTTACTGGGCTTAAGAAAAATGAGAGGAAAGAAACTGGAGACAGTGCTAATCCCTACCTCTTTCAGGGAGCTTTGCAGCAAAGACAGGAGAAAAATAAGATGGCAGCTGGGGGTGGGGGAGGGAAGAGGGTCAAAGGAGGTTGTGTTGTTGTTGTTTTTTTAATGTTTTATTTATTTCTAGGAGAGAGAGAGACAGCGTGAGCAGGGGAGGGTCAGAGAGAGAGGGAGTCACAGACTGAAACAGGCTCCAGACTCTGAGCTGGCAGTCAGCACAGAGCCCGATGTGGGGCTCGAACCCACGAACCGCGAGATCATGACCTAAGCGAAAGTCGGACGCTTGACTGACGAAGCCACCCAAGAGCCCCGTCGTTGTTGTTTTTATATTTAGTAGAATTTTTAAAAAGTTTTTATGTTTTTATTTTATTTTTGAGAGAGAGAGAGAGAGAGACAGTGCGAGTGGGGGAGGGGCAGAGAGAGAGGGAGACACAGAATCCGAAGCAGGCTCCAGGCTCTGAGCTGTCGGCCCAGAGCCTGAAGTGGGGCTCGAACTCATGGACCATGAGATCATGACCTGAGTTGAAGTCAGACGCTTAACTGAGCCACCCAGGTGTCCCTAGTAGTATTTTTTTAAATAACGTATTGTCCAGTTAGCTAATGTACAGTGTGGACAGTGTAGTCTTGGCTTTGGGGGTAGATTCCTGTGATTCATCACTTACATACAACACCCAGTGCTCATCCCAACAAGTGCCCTCCTCAGTGCCCACCCTGCCCCCTCCATCAACCCTCAGTTGTTGTTTTTTTAAATATTTTTTTAAAGTGGACATAAACTAACTTTATGGGGAGAAGGGAGAGAGTCAAAGGGGAATCACCTCTAATTTACAAAAAAGTATTGTAATTAAAATTAATTTAAAATAGCATCAGTTATGTAATATTCTTTTTTTTTAATTTTTAAAAAATGTTTTTATTTTGGGGCGCCTGGGTGGCTTAGTCGGTTAAGCGTCCGACTTTCGCTTAGGTCTTGATCTCGCGGTTCGTGGGTTCGAGGCCCGCGTCAGGCTCTGTGCTGACTGCCAGCCCAGAGCCTGGAGCCTGTTTCAGAGTCTGTGACTCCCTCTCTCTCTGACCCTCCCCTGCTCATGCTGTCTCTCTCTCTCTCTCTCTCCTAGAAATAAATAAAACATTTAAAAAATTTTTTTTAAATCTTTAAAAAAATGTTTTTATTTACTTCTGAAAGAGAGAGAGACAGCGTGAGCAGGGGAGGGTCAGAGAGAGAGGGAGATACAGAACGTGAAGCAGGCTCCAGGCTCTGAGCTAGCTGTCAGCACAGAGCCAGACGCAGGGCTGCAACCCACGAATCGCGAGATCATGACTTGAGCCAAAGGTGGACGATTAACTGACTGAGCCACCTAGGCGCCCCTGTAATATTCTTTTTTTTTTTTTAATATTCTTTATTTTTGAGAGAGAGAAAGAGCATGAGTGGGGTGGGGGGAAGGGCAGAGAGAGGGACAGAGGATCCAAACCGGGCTCTGCACTGACAGCAGTGAGACCGATGAGGGGCTCAAATTCACAAACCAAAGTCAGACACTCAACCAACTGAGCCACCCAGGTGCCCCATCTATGTGATATTCTTGACAAAAAAGTTAAATATGAATTTAATGGGGAACCATCAGACAGATGTAAATTACAGGCTGCTCTACAAAAATAACTGGCCTGGACTTTTAAGAAAATGTTAATATCAGGGAGGCCACAAAAACAAGGCCAGGGAATTGCTCTTCCTTAAAGGAAACCAGAGAGCCTGAACAGCCAAATGCAACGAGTGACCCAGAATGAAATACTCGAGTTTTTTTAGTGCTATCAAGAACATTTATGACACAATTGTACCATGAACTAGGCAGGTTAAACAACAGAAATGTCTTGTCTGTCCATGTGGAGTTCGCAAGGCTGAGGTCAAGGTATGGGCAGGGCTAGTTGCCTCCGAGGCTGTGAGGGGAATTGGTCCAGACCTCTCCCCAGCTGCTGGGGGTTTGCTGGCAATCTGTGGTGGGCCTCGGCTTGTGGAAGCATCACCCTGATCTCTGCCTGCATCGTCACGTGGCCCTCTCCCTGTGTGTGTGTCTCTGTGTCCAAGTTCCCCCTTGTTTAATTAAAAAAAAAGTTTTTATTTTAAATAAACTCTATGAGACACCTGGGTGGCTCAGTTGGCTAAGTGGCCGACTTCAACTCAGGTCATGATCTCACAGTTTGTGGGTTCGAGCCCCACATCAGGCTCTGCTGACAGCTCAGAGACTGGAGCCTGCTTTGGATTCTGTGTCTTCCTCTCTCTCTGCCCCTCTCCCACTCGTGCTCTGTCTCAGTCTCTCTCTCTCTCAAGAATAAACAAACATTAAAAAAAAAATTTTTTTTTTATTTATTTATTTCTAGGAGAGAGAGAGAGAGACAGCATTAGCAGGGGAGGGTCAGAGAGAGAGGGAGTCACAGACTGAAACAGGCTCCAGGCTCTGAGCTGGCAGTCAGCACAGAGCCCGACGCGGGGCTCGAACCCACGAACCCAAGATCATGACCTAAGCGAAAGTCGGACGCTTAACCGACTAAGCCACCCAGGCGCCCCCCAAAAAAATTTTTTTAATAAAGTCTGTGTTCAATGTTGGGCTCAAATTCATGACTCCACGATCAAGAGTTGCATACTCTAGGGGTGCCTGGGTGGCTCAGTTGGTTAAGCCTCTGATTTTGGCTCAGGTCATGAACTCAGTGTTCATGGGTTCGAGCCCCGTGTCGAGCTCTGTGCTGGCAGCTCAGAGCCTGGAGCCTGCTTTAGATTGTGTCTCCCTCTCCCTCTGTCCCTCTCCTGCTCACACTGTCATCCTCTCTCTCCTCTCTTTCTCTCCCAAAAATAAAGAGTGAAAAAAAAAAAGAGTTGCATATTCTACCGACTGAGCCAGCCAGGCAGCCCCAGATTCCCCTGTTTATTATTAAAAAAATTTTTTTAATGTTTATTTTTTGAGAGGAAGGGAGAGAGCACAAGTGGGGGAGGGGCAGAGAGAGAGGGAGATACAGGATCCGAAGCGGGCTCCAGGCTCTGAGCTGTCAGCAGA